AGAATACAAACCAAATGTTTTTTCTTAAAAATGCAGGTTGTTTTATTTTTCATAGAAACTAAAACACCAGAGTTCATTGATTGCTATATTAAATACATAAATTTTAAAATAACCATTCATAAAACTTTACATACAATAAATGGATTCCTGCCTCTATGGTGATACATACAGTACATGGACACGTCCCGTGAACTTCAGATAATCACTCTACTGCAACCAGTCAAGTTCTGTCTCTCATCAGTCAGCAGTGAAGCAGCCCACAGAGTCATGCGATGAGACAAGAAACACCCTGACTAATGAATTAATGCAGGTGACTGTGGGAATGCATTGGAAACAGGCCCCCTGGCTACACTAACTCAGTAGACACATGAGGAACTGTGGAGTCAAACCTATTCGCTCTAGACTCAAGTCCCCACAGATTTAGACATCGCAGGTTAGACCATGCACAAAAGCTTCTTGAGATGTAAGGTCAGTTGATAAAGCCATAGGACCTTCGACTGATATTAATACTGTAAACTGTGCTGGGTTTGTTTTTCTTGAGATCCCAGGAACAAAAATGTCTGGCTTGGGGCAAGGGGAGTCATTGAAAAGTCACAGGTAACAGGAAATAGTGGCAATGGGAGGAAGGTGGATCAGCCGAACCAAAAGAGGCAACCAAGGAAGGGTGAGTATAGACACCATATGCTTAACAAAACTAAGCTGCCTAGAAACATCAGAAAAGCATCTTCTTTAGAGCCTCTGTTCACGTCTGAAGTATATATCTGTTCATGCCCACACCATCATACTGGGTACAGAATACATACGTGTGAATATGTACATCTCATATTTATAAGTGTTTGGATGTTGTGGGGATACTGTGGGGAGATGGTACAGTTAGTATGGTAAATAGGCACATTTTGTGTGGTGTCCTTCAAACTTAAGTGGCTGCAGTTTCTTACAGGTTCTGGATTTGCTTCTGATTAGAAAATTAGATCATTCATTCTTTAGTAAGTACTCAGAGTCTTCACTGTGGGCAAAGAGGACTCCACATTGTTTGCCTGTTCCACAGCCACCCTGTAGAACTGTATATAGCAAAAATGGAAATACTATGGGTGTAAAGATTTTGGTCCAAAAAAGGCAAAATAGAGCCAGAACCCCTCATTCAGTCAATCATGTGTACCTCTGGGTTTGACACATTAGATTGAATGTAGTAAATTATAATCCATTTTCCTGTCCTGCCCCTTTACATACATCTTTTAAAATTCGAGTCAAGAATTGGACTCAGGCTCTCCAAGCAATAGAAGATTTTGTGTAGGAAGAACTCAATTACTAAAGTCAGGGATGGACTGGAACCTACCCTGCTCAGCTCTGAAATGTTATAATAGAATTTGGTCCTTCAAGAGGCTTCCTGTGAACCAACCCCATTCTCCCATCATGTTGAGTCTTTTTGTAGATATGTCTGGAATCCACTCTCTAGGCAGTTTTCTATATGGGAATTATAAAGTAGTCAAGAAAAAGGAGATCTTTCTCCTATGCCCCTTTTCCCACCTAGACCAGAAGTCCATAGGAAGACTGATGTGGCTCCATCCTGGAAGCAGTAGCTCATGCCATAAACAGTCATCTGAGATCTACTTCCACGCTGGATGGTGGAGAAAGCCTTTAATCCCAGCACTTGGGAGGCAGAGGCAGGTGGATCTCTGTGAGTTCGAGCTCAGCCTGATCTACAAATCAAGTTCCAAGACTACCAAGGCTACACAGAAAAACCCTGTCTCAGAAAACAAAGCAAAACAAAAACAAACAAACAAAAAGATCTACTTCTGTTACTGAAGTAATTCAAAAGTTATTTTTTTTCCACATGGTAAATCAAACTGAATCCCTAAAGCTTGTTATGTTACCAGGGCAAGGATCTGGCGAGATATGGTTCTGTGCTGTCTAGAACACTCGGGCACCTGGGCTCAACTTCTAGCACCACCGTGAAAGATAAAATAAAAGGAGGGAGGTGAGGAAAGGGTGGAGGGAAAAAGGGCAGTTAAATTATCACAAAAGCAATGTAATTCCTAAATGACATCATTGATTCCCACAATCCTTATTCCAGTACACACACACACACACACACACACACACACGCTCACACACACACAAACGTGCGTGTGTGTGTGTTCAGCTCCACTCTTTGATAGATAAAAAGAACACAACTATATGTTTAATATAGAGTACATTGATCATCTACTTTGATGTAACATTGCAGAGATGGTCAAGTTATTTAAATATCAACACATAACCAACAGATATTCTTTTTACAGTTTCTATGAAAACCCAGGCAGATTAAAACAGTAAGCATTTTTAAAATAAGGTGCTTATCAATTACATTGAAGATAAAGCATACACATTTTACAGTGTGTTTATACAAAAAGTTAACAATACATAGGCAGAAGAAAAAGTGGGCAAGGTTTGTTTAAAGTAAATAATAGAAAAATAAATAAGTTGAAATAAAATACTGCAGCACAAAATGATTTGGCAAATTTTATTTCTTCTATGGCAAGTGGAAACCCTTCCTGACCCCAGTGATGACTATACCTCCCAAACTGGGAGAAACCATATCCATCCATAAGAAGGTACTTCTAGAGTGAAAAAAAGAAATCAAAGGGAAGTGTATTCTTTCGTTCTTAAAACCTTCCTTTTAGCCACAGTTTAAGTGAGATGACCTAAGTCAAACAGGGTTATTACTAGTTTAATTCTTCACCTGGGATAGAAGTTAGACGGCGTTGAAAAGGAGAAGGTGAAGTTGATGACAGTTTTGTAGAACGCTCTCAGAAGGAGTCTGTGCATTTTTTCTCACTCAAGGGCATTTCACTATCCTGATGGTGCTAAATGGGAGCTTTCGCTTCTCTTGAACTCCTCAGTCGATTTCAAGAGACGCATACTCAGCTAAGAGAACATAGGTAAGTGAACTCTCACTGTGTTAATTTCCCCTAAATCTCTGGGCAAGTGTATCTGGAAGGTACAGATACAGAAATTCAAGGAATTGAGTGGGAATTATATTTTTGGAAGAAAATAAGAAAGTCATAGCAGAGCTCCCTATTACTCAAGTTACATTTTTGTCTATTCTGAACATCATATGCAAGAAAGCATTCCATTTTCACTAACCTGCAAATGAGCAGAACACATCCATAGTTTTCTCAACACCACTGTAATTGTAGATATGGATGGGATCTGTCAAAATATTTAAACTTCCCTAGTCTAAATAGTAGAACATTCATTTTAAAGACATAACCCAAACCTGATAAGGATATCACAATGTAGCTTACAGCCTAGAGAAATTTCCTTGGTATTCTGGATATTAAACAGAAAAAAATCTCACCCAACACACACACACACACACACACACACACACACACACACGTTTTAGAGACAATCAGCTGCTGCTCTCAGACAGTTCAGTATGGGATTGACACAATTCAAATAACATCAGGGAAGCAGGTATGGACTCTTATTAACATTCATAGTAATTTAGATGTAGTTCTCTGGTATTAAAATTTACCATCAGGCTCTTGCTAGGGAAAGCCAATAGGAGAGAAAGAGGGTGTGTTTGGAGCAGATTAAGTATGGATTTTTTTCAAGTGGGCCCCATAGTGGTAGACGAAATATCATTAAAGAGGTTAAGAAAAAAAGCCATTGGTATATTTGTATACATGACCAAGAGTTATCTGTGTGGCAGGCACAGTAGAAGTACCCTGTTTCACGTCAACTGCACAATGAACCTGCTAATTGCATTTGATCTGGAACTTACCTTAGTGGCAAAAAGAGTCCACGGGATAGTTATGATTTTGTGTTTGCATCAGGACACATCGTCTGGCATTCCTTGAAAGAAATATTCAGATTTCTCAGTTGTTCTTGCCAACCCTTGATTGCGTGGTCAGCTCTCCTGTGATGATGACGGGGTCTTGTTTGATGCGTGTTTATGCAACCAGGAGAGCATAGGAGTTGCTCAGCATTGAAATGACATAGTATGATTCAATCTATTTGCTATAGATGATTCACCATGGTTTTGAATCTCACAATTTATTGCTAGTAATGTCTTAGGTAGCTTGATGGGAAAGCTTCAGTAATGCTATGCTGTTTGAACTAAATTCAATAACTATTTCATTATATAGGGAAATCAAACACGAGAGCATTTATAACAGTTACAAAGCACTTCGTGCTACTTTAAGCACCTCTTGTTCCAGAATTGCAAATGAAACCTTATGAAGAAAAAAAAAGCATTTAACCCCCATTTTGCAAATGAGGAAACTGAGGCACAGAGAGGTTCAGTGACTGGGCCAAATTCTTGGATAAGCATTAAAAACAAGGGCAGAAATGTGGGCCCCAGCATTCTGTTTGTCTTGTAGATTTTTCAGTTGTTCTGGCTTTGAAAAGGCCAGCGCTCCAACTGAAGGAGAATCTGCGCAATTCCCATATGGAAGTATTTATGTAGCGTTTCATAGAAAGAGTTTCTGGCTCCCTACACACATTCTCTATGTGTGGAAATCCTAGCCCCAGAAAGAAAACATTGACTATCTGAAAACTTGAGGTTGTCTTGTTATCTATAGTAAATGAGGTGTAAAATTAGCCTTTCAGGAACATATATTTACTGTCAGTGCTGAATCCAAGACTCAGTAATGCATAACTTAGGAGAAGTACGAGTCATCTGTCTGCCTGTGGTAGAGAACCGCAGTGTCAGTAACGCGTGCCCTCTCTCGAGAAAAGTAGACCCATGGTGTCGCTGTTCGCTAGCTCAGAAAATAATGTTATTGTTCTAAATGACAAGAGTTCGGATTGCTCTGGGTACAGGAGGATACCCAATATCCACAGCTCCCTGGCAAACGCGAATGTTGATATTTGACTTTTCACCTCTACGATGTCACCCCAGTTGGAGAGTGTATTCATCTGCAGGCAATTCGAACTTGAAACTGGAGGATGCAGAGGTGCTCTCTGGCCCTAGTTCCCTATAGCTCTTGATGCTCTAAACAGAGCTAAGTCGGGGAGTTTGTGACTCGTGGGTATAATCTTCATCATTTTCAATATGGATGAGACCAGTCCGTCCACAGTGAAGAAACGCAGGTGTGTGATGCCAGGCAGCATCAGATTTCCGCTCGCATCCCACGTTACACACCCCAGAGTCACTTGACTTGGTCGCTTGGTAGCGTAACTGGGATCCACTTTCGATCCCCAGTTCCACCTTTAGGAGAAACAAAGTGGAGCCTGTTTTTCTACCATCCGTATCACAGATGTCTCTGTTCCTGAGTTTAAAACAATCATAAGGACAGAAAAGCAAATTCCTGGAGTAACAAACCAGACTTTTCAAATGAAACCTTTTATTGTAAATAGCTCCTCATAGGTATTCCTCGTGCTTCATTCCCACCCACCCTCAATTCTTTTTCTTATGTTTGTTTTGTTTTTTTTTTTTAAAATGATGTTTATTTTCAGGAATAGTGTTTCCATGGGGTGTGGTGTTACATTAAAATGACCCCCCCTGCACAGCAGGAGTTGAATGTTTCATTGTAACTTTGGTTCCATGCCCAAGACACGTCTTCTCTTGATCTGCTGAAACTGGTTCCACTGCTGAATTTTTCCTTCACACAATATATGTTTATAGTTCTCTTCTTCTGGTTCAACACACACACGTTTCTTCATTAAATGCAGCATATAATGTAGATTTTTCAACAGGGTCATTATAAACTGTCAAGTAAGAAACCTTGAATAATGGCTTTAAAGCAAGAGTCTTGGCTACAGGGTAGTTCTTAGCTTTTGATTTCCCTTACATCGGTGTAAACAATTTTGCCATCTTTGAAGGTTTAAAAGCATATGCCTTCTGGGGGTATGATCTGTGTTCTTGAATTTTCTGTAAGACAGAGGGAAATAATTTACCAACCATCATCTATGTTAACAGCTAAGTAAGAAAAAAAGCAAACTCTTAGACAAGACAAGTTTTGGTCAATTTCTGGCACCAGAACCAAACCATACTTTTAAAAATAAAGGTAGAAATATTATTATTCTTGTCTTTGTTTTGAGCTGAATGCCTTTTGGGAAATCATATAATATCTCTAGGCTTAGCTGCTTTAAGAGAGAGAAAAGAATGATTTATTTATTCCATGACTTATTGAAATAAGTTACATACAAAGTAATAACAGTTTTTATAGTTATGCCTCCTGGATATGTTAGCTCTTATTACTGTTGCCAGATACTGTTATGCTATCTACAACTTTCTGTGATTTACTTTTATGTCCCTCTTGCTGTTGTACAACTTTAACCACTGGCATGGTTTCTCACCCCAGAGGTTGTGGAATAACTTGCTGAGGACTCTGCAGTACAGACTTTGTAGTTGACTCTGAATTGTCCCTGAAAGTGAGCTGTGGCCACGGGGCTCTCTCCCTGCGCTTAGTATTACTGTCTGGATTTTCACTTAAACAGAACTCTCCTTTATAATGTCCTCTCTTCCAGTGCCATCCAGGGATGGCAGAAGAGGACGTGCTACTGTGCCTTGCTTAAGGACAGGCCTTCACTCTGAATGACATGGATAGAGAAAAAAATTCTTTGTTGTTGCAACAAGCTATTCAGCTTGCTTAAGCAACATTTTTAATCTAAATAAATAATGAAAATATTGACTCTGTAGAAAGATTATGCTACTGCCCCAGAAATGCTGAGCAAGGTCCAAACTGACAGATCAGGAGGTGTTTGTATCTCAATCACATTTTCAAATCACCACATGGAGGCACATTAAGTAGACAAACTCTTGCTGCAGGTTAAGCTAGACGTATCTGTAATATATGTTTGTGTAAACATTTCGCTCGAAACGTTTAGATTAGGATGGTGAGTGTAGTCACAGAGTAGGCGATGGCAAAGGCGTACAATGACTGAGGGGATGAGGTTATGATGAGAGAGGACACAGAAGATGGGCAGGCAGGTAAAAGTACTTGCTGCATAAGCCTGATGACCCAAGTTTGGATCCCCAGAACCCACAAAAAGCTAGATGTTATTGTTAAATAAATTGCCTACTGTTACATTTCTCACTGGCAGAATTCACACTATAATTGACGTCTGTAATTCTCAACCACTGCCATTTTGCCCACATACATTTTAAACTGAGCAGAGTCATTATCACACTCATTTGCTATTGTATTTCCACACTAGACCTTCAGTCTAGAGAGAATGACTAAGTGTCAATTGTGTGCTACTTTGAAGCACATAGCCAATCTTAAGTGTCCCCAGGAACCCCCAAACACTTAGCAGAAACCACAGAGAAAAAAAATAGTTTTCAGACTATAAAGAAAACCTCTTGGAAGAAGAAATACAGCCGGAGGATGGATAATCAAAGGACATAAACTTTCTAAGCCCCTTTGTTTCACTCTCTCCACTTCAGGTCATGCTAAAGCCTTACTTGCTTGTTTCACAGGGAGGCACTGAGGTTGACATTCACGGAGAGGGAAAGAGTCTCTCTTCTATCTTTCTGCTTGCTAGAAGAATAATAACTAATATGAAGCATAAAGGAAAACTCTGTCTAACATAATTTTGCAGAATAATCAAAGTAGAAGTGGTCCATGGAAGTATATTTAGAACGGCCCTTTGTAAACAGTAGTATTGAGATTTGTGGTTTCCATTGCTGATTGAACATTAGAACCACCTGCTATGCGGTGAGATGCAAACCAGTCCCTGCTCTCTATCATTCCCACCTCCCATCAACTCTCTCAGCTCAAGTGGTCTGGCTCATGAAGTGCACGATAAGGCTTCTATGCCTGTTATTTTCAGCACCAAGAACCACAAGCTAGAATGACTGAGGCAAGTGCTCATCAGTTTGGTAATGACCAAAACATGACTGCATTTTTTTTTTTTGAATTAATGCTGAAAGGTGTCTTGTTTTAAAACAGGATCCATGTTCACTTAATACCATGCTTTCCTGACTTCTGATGTGGAAAGATTGGGACAGAGTTGCAATAGTGTTCATAATCGGTTTCTCTGAGTCTTGGAATCAGCATTAGGAGAATACTAAAGGCCCAGTGACATTTTCTCATGTGGTAGATGTGGTAGATACAGACACACAACTCCTTCTGGGTGATAGACAGCCACAATGAAAACACTAAGAGTCACAGACTTTGTGACTTCCTAAGGTACTATAACTAAACTGAGAACATCAGTTTTACACCAACCATACAACTTTAAATTTTAAAAACAGTCAACCTGCATTGGACCCATTTTTCATTTTGTGGCTAACTAAATAAACTGTTTTGTTTGGAAAGGACATGTGATCCAATAACAACATGTAATCTTCTTCTTATCTGCTACCTCTTCGAGCCACAGTGTTGAGTTAAAAGGAGTCTTACCTTTAAGAGGCACCTTGACATCAAGGCCATAGAATGAAGGCAAGAGAGAAGAACAAGAATAGAAACAGAAACTGCAGAAGAAAAAGAAGGAGATTATGTAAATCTGAGCTCTCATCAGCATTCAGGTAGCACAAAACCTCAGCTTCCTATATTCCCTCCTAAAAACAAACCAAAACCACCCTGCATTCACCTATTGTCATGCATTTTAGAATTAATGACAGGGGACAATTGTTCTAGGCTTTAGGCTCTAACTTTCACACATGAGAAAAACCAATCATAGAGTCAGCAAAGGATCCTTCTAACCCCGTACCGTCTTGGAGCGCAATGAGAGCTTTGTACTTTACTGTGCGCAAGGTCTCTCTCTTTCAGGGATGTGAGGGTGTTTCAGAACTGTCATCAGAGATATGTGCTTATTAAGAGGACCACAACATTTACTGTGTCTCCCTCGTGGAATACTTACAAAAAGCACAGGAAACCACAACATTGGAAGCGCTTTGGACATGTGAAGTACTATGTGCAGGGGAGGCTGTGTTGCTTGGTTCGTTGATATCCCCTGATTTACACCCACTGTGCGCATGGAAAGGAGCCGCCCTAGCCCAGCAGGGACACGGTGTGCACTCACTCTGAGTAGGCTTTCAAGGGTTGCAGGAGGAAAATGAAGAGTGCACTGAGCCTTAGCTGTTCCAGTAGGCTGGAAGGCAGGAGGGAGTGAGGTCACATGGGCAGGACACCCAGTGGGAACCTCATCTCTCATTCTATCCTCTCAAGAGTCAACCAGCTTGTTATTTAAGTAGCTCAGTTCTCTACCTTAGGACGGTATTCAACACTAATTGCTGCATTACTTCATTATCATAGAAGACTAGGAAGTTCAGGTCTATAAATATCATGGGACAAAATGGTAGTGAAACAGCCTCATTAAATTCTGAGAGCTGATACAGACTTAGTTCCTCTTCTCCCCAAATTTCCACAGGATTTATTTAGGTAGGTACTGGAGTGGCAATCCAGTCTCTCCGCTTTTGGAAGCCTCCCTTGAAGGGAACCGAATAGCACCCCGAAGTTTCTTCACAGAATTGCCACAGTATCTTCCTGTTTGAGTCAGAGCAAGGGGATTAACTCCAAGGCAGACCAGACTGGGCCACTCCAAAATGTCAGAAATAGACGACACAAGGTGTGCTCTCCAACACGCAGGAATGCAGGGAGCAGCCTCTGTCTTCTGTGGATCTTTACACCAAGTGCAAAGAAACTGCATGTAGCACTTGGATCACTGTAATTCACCATGGCCTCACTCAGTCCTGAAAAACTGAATGGTTTGAAATGAGGGATGTTCTGATATAAAATTCTAAGGAGGACATGTACTTCAAGGATGGGAAAAATTCAGAAGAAGACTTTTAAATGTTTTTCAAGTTTCATATGTGACTTCATTCCTCATGGAACCCATAAGAGGAAGTCAGTTTGGGTGTTGCCACTGCCATTTTATGGACACAAAAGGCGTGTTTGTAGTCACTTACCCAAGGTGACATCAGAAGCAGAAGCTCATCGTCTATGAATGTGAGCGCTCAGGGATATGGCTTCCAGACTACACTAACTCCTGACCTCACATATATGGACCAGGACTCATGCATTTTTGGAGGAGCTCAGTTCTAGCCATAGTCTCAGGAATGCCAGATGGTTTGCTGTGGTCTTCTCGAATCCCGTGGAAGTTACAGCCAAACAACCTATTTCAACCCCGGGGTTTGGGGAGCTACTTCCAGTCAGGGAGGCAGGGACAAGAGAGGGAGAGAACTCTGCTCTCTTTCTGCATTCCCCAGCAGAATGCCTCTGGCCTGTCAGGTAGGACAGGTCTTTGCACCAGATGGAGCCATTTCTCTTCTGTCAACACTCAATCGCCCTCTTTACATCACTATTCTTTAGTTTCACCAAACACAGGACCTCTTGAAAGAAATTTCTCTTTTTTTTAATTTTTATTTATTTTATTTTTTTGTGGGGAAGTGGGTTCAAGACAAGGGTTTCTCTATGTATTCCTGGCCGCCCTGGAACTCTCTCTATAGACGGTTTCTGAACTAAGTGTTAAAGTGAAACTGAAGCCCAGGGATGAAAGGGGATTTTTATAAATAATGGGAAATGTTTGTGTGTTTGATTTTTTTTAATGTACTAAAATATGTTTGAAAGGAAAAGCAAATCAGAGTAACAGAAAAAAAGTATTGGAAATTAAGATGAGGAAGGCAGAGTGAAGGGAATCAAAACTACACATGGTGGAAATATCAAGACTGCTGATGGGACAGCAACCCCCCCCCAACACAAATCCTGGTGTCCTATTCAAGGAGGGCACCACCACGTTCCCCGAACCTATGTCTGCCTGTGCCAGACCCAATAACCGAGAAGAAAGAGATAGCAGAGAAGCCAAACAAGCAGAACTTTCAGATTAACAAAGGAGTTTAATGCGTACCTTTTCCTCCAAGTCCTTTATCTGCCGTTTCTGAATGTCCGTCTTATCCTCTAGGTCACGGATTCTCTGAATAAATTAGGGAAAGCACTGTTAGGTGCTAGGCTGTTGAGGAAATTGTTCACCAAACAAAGCATAATGTTTGCTGTGAAAACACTGATATTAGTGCCAGCGGATGGAAATAGCACAAATACGCTTTTCCCTACCCACAGGGAAATGCATGTCCCAACGCTTATCCAGACCTGTGTTGGGAAAATATTGTCACTGTTAACATGTTTGAGCCAAGTATTTTCTATCTGCTTTAGTTTAGATTTTTAAACACCTTCCCAAAAAAAAAAAAAAATGCATGCTACAGGCATGGTCATTAGCCCGTATGGCTGATGGGAGGTAGGGCTTTTTGGAGGACATTAGGTCATTGGGCATTCCCTTAATGAGGATATTGGGGACTTGATCCCAATCCCCTCTTTGCTTTGACTGCCTCAAGGTGAGCAGCTTTCTTCACTCCTGCTTCTTCCATGATGAACTGCCCCGAAGTAAGGAGCCAACTGTGATCATGGACAGGAACTTCTGAGCGCATGGGCACAGGTGAACCTTACCTTTGCTTTAATTGACTTTTGAGAATTTTGTGACCATAGCAGTGTATGAACAACCCACCTCTTTCTTTCCCCCTGGAGAGGCCTAGCAGGGGTGGGGTGCCTTCCACCACACTGCCGCTGGACTTGGCCAGATTACTTTTGCCCTGGGGAATGCGAGTTTATAGGAAGTGTGGGAATGTAACATCCTTGTCAGAGAGCGGTACGTCCCAAAACTAGTGAGCATGAAGGGGATGCTTTAGTCAGCCCTTTGGATTGATATTCTGGTTGCTTATCTGTACAGTAAAAATGGCTGGTACCGACTTGCAATAGCAGAATGCTGTTGGTCTTTCTTGTCTCCCTGCTTCAGCCCTGTTTGGGGATGAAATTTCCTCACAAAACATGATTGACCAATTCTCAAATGTCAGTGAGAGTACGCTTTAATACAACTTCTCAGAAGTAAGCTGATAAGCTGGGGATGAAGCAATTGTAACAGAACAACATAGCAGCCAAAAATGCAGAAAAGCCTATGTAACCACAATCCACACAGGGTCTCAGAGCACTCAGACTGGATGACTGGCATTACATAGATAACTGTTTGGGAGCAAAAGGAGTCTTCACAGTTTCTCTTGACAGTCTAAAGGCTTCTGGTACCCATGTGCGTTATGATGCATAGCAAGCTTGCTATATAATGGTCACTGTTTGTAGGAGCTAAAACAGTGAACTGGCCCTTCAGCTGGACGCCTACTAGGGTGATAATAATAGAGATTTTTATAATGCAGCATGAGGAGAAATAAGTGGGAGCTAGAAGAAAACATTCTAACATGGAAATCAAGTTTCCTCTCGAAAAAGGGCCAACTAGAGGAAATTTTCACCCTTTCCTGGAGGATGGCAATGTCTGATAATTTTTCAAGTTCATTGGCATGCTTATTTTTTTTTTGGTATGCTTGGCCATTTTATAATGCATAGTTATTTCATGTTTTAGTATAGTGGCAAATGTGTGTACCTAGTGCAAAACTGTGTAAATATTTCTTATTGTCACAACTGTGTTTAAAATATTTAACAGCTCTTTTAACTTAGTTGCAGTAGAAGCCATTAAGTCACATCCCACAATGCAAGAGACATCCTCCCACCCCAGGAATTCAGCTCGATCTAGATGATCTGTCTTTGTACTCCCAAGAGGGAGAAACCCTGCTGTCAATGAAAGGAGCTGAGGCTTGTGCTCTAGTTACCATCTCATCTCCGCATGTTGATGAACGATGGAGATGAAGGTGAGCCTGGTAGCACCAACATATGTGAATGTGTGATGTGTGCTGGAGTGTACTTCAGTGGTACAGCATATAGTCTAAGGCTACACAACCAAACAATAAATGTGCCAGGTATTTCTCTCTTCTTTATACACACAATTCCTTGGCCTGTGTCTATATACAGATATAAATATTGATTCAGGAAACCATACATTCATGAGAGTGCTGAAGCGCTTATTCAGTTTTCAGCTCTGTGTTTGCTGACCGCTTTCTGTCTGCACGTGTACTGAGGAATACAGCTAAGGCATCAACTAAGTCCTGGTCCCAAGGAGCTACGATGTTCTTTGACAAGATGGGATGTAAAATGGAGAGTAACAGAATTAAGAAACAAACGTGCAAAATGGCAAAGATGTAAAACACTGTCACCCATCTCCTGTGTTAGTCTGTAGACAGACTGTTTCACACTGTAGATGAATCCACTATTGTTCATTACATGTTGTAAGTTTGTTTTTTTTTCTTCTTCCCAAGCCATTTGTCATCCAATCAAGAGGAAACATTGTGAAACCCCAAAACATATTCTCATATCCTCTCTCTCTTTTCACCCCTTTCTTCCTCCTTTCGTCTCTCTCTCTTTCTCTCTCACTATTAGGTACATGAACTCACATTTATCTTTTATTGCAGCTGGTGACACAGCTTATTATTAGTTCTTCCTGTCTCTTATTTGGTCCATGCTACATCATGTCAAAATCTGTCTTGTTCACATCATCAAAATGTAGCTAACGTGAACTTGAAATGTGAACTACTCAGGTTGGGGTATGGCATAGCACCTGCCTAGCATGCATAAGACCCCCAGTACTATTCTTAGCTTCATAAGGTTAAGAGATGACAGCAATCCTGTGTCTTAGCGGTGGAGAAAAAAAAGTTAGCTGAGTATAAAACTAAGGCCTGGACTCTTGCAAGGTCCCACACTGGTCTTTATTCTTCATGGTCTCCAGCTTCACCTCTTAGCCCAACTCTGTGCACATCAGACATACCAACTTCTTCTGTAGCTCTTGAATGCACACCAGAGCTTAGTACTTGCTCCTTTTCTGAGATGGTGTGGGATTCCCCTCTGCATGCTGTGAATATGTTTTATTACTATTGGTTAATAAAGAAGCTGCTTCAGCCTATGACTGGGCAGAACAAAACCAGATGGGAAATCTGAACTATATATATAAAGAGTAGGCAGAGTCAAAGAGACACCATGTAGCTGCCGAAGGAGACAAACGCTGGAAACTTACTGGTAGGCCACAGCCTCATGGTATTACATAGATTAAAAGAAATTGGTTAATTTAAGATGGAAGAGTTACTTAATAAGAAGCCTGAGCTAATAGGTCAAGCAGTGTCGTATTTAATATAGTTTCTGTGTGATTATTTGGGTCTGGGCAGCCGGGAAGGAAAGTGCAGTCTCTGTCTACGCTGGGACCTTTGAGTGGTGGCTTCCCTGGTTTTCATGGATCTTCAGAGGTATTCTTGGACTACCTGTCCTAACATGCTTAATCCTTTCTGACTCACATGCACACCCATAGACACTGTCGAAGTTTTTTCCCAGCACTTAGGGACTTCCTTAGAGATATTTCCTGCATGGTTCATTTGTGCTGTGGCTTTGTCTTTTCCCATCTATATGGCAGATCTGATGTCTTCAGTAACTGCCATATTCACAGCATCTGGTGCACATCTAGCCATTAGTACATGACTCTAAATGATTACAAAACAAGGTTTTAAATGTATTAGTTTAAGAACATTTTGTTCACTTTGTTCATCCAGAAGAGGATTCTGGAAGTGGCAAACCTTTAGTAGGAAACAGGAAAAAAAAATAAGAATGTTTGAATGCCATTTTTTTTTTTGGTGAAAAACAGGCAAATAAAGGCTCAGGAATAGGGACAAGTGACACTAGGCTTTGCACCAGAAAGAACTCCTGTGTCTCAAGTCACATCTTAAGGGAGGGATGACCACTAATGAAGGACCTCAGGAGGCATACACAGGACTTAAGCCACTTCAAAAGGGAAATCACAGATGCCCTTGGGCAAAAAATTACCATAAGGAAAGGTGGGAAAAAAAAAACAGGGCTTACTTACAAAATGAAAGGGAGAAAAGTAGGAAGTTCCTACAGTGTGATTTCCATGGCCCCTGGGGGCCCATGGGCTTTTGTTAATGCCATTTATCAAAATACACCAGAATTATTTTCTTTATGCTAATGATCTCCGTCTTCAAATGCTCAGAGGGCAGTGTCCACGGTGAGTGCTCTAGATATCCAGTACATTGACTCTACCACTAGTAGATACATTGAAATGTCTGAACACATGCCTAGATGACAGAGTCAGGTTAGTACAGGGGCACCTGGAAGCCACTCTAATCATGAAAGATCCTGCAAATGCCTGTAACAGTGTGAGCAAAATAGACCCAGGATGCCCATGTCCATGTCTGTTGGATGTGGTGCTACCTAAATTCCCTGAGGGAGAGGACAGAGAAGACATAGGTGTTGCACCCTGAGTGACTTTGGATAAAGCCATTCTGCTGACCCAGCAGATGGAGAGGAGAGATGAGATAAGGACAAGAATGCATATTGTCTTCATTTTGGGGACATCTAAGCACAAATGTCTAATAAGTGGCTAGCAATGGCCTCTAGAATTTACATGTCATAATTATATCATAGTGTCTTTGATACATCCTGGCCAGTGCCTTCTGGAATAACTCTGCTATTAAGCTACTGATTAAAAGGGGAAAGGAGAGTAAGAAGTAATTAGAAAAGGTACATTTAATGCGAACATTTGTTAGAGAGGGGGAAATGTCAGGGAACTCTCTCAACTCAGTCTAATTCAGATAAAAAGTGGAATTCTTTCAAGAGAGGTACTTTAGCTAACAGATTAAAGAGGGACTCAAACTGGGACGCCAGGATTTTATCATGAGCAAATTTCGACTACTATTAGTCCATGCTAAAACAAACACATGCGTACTTACAAGACACAGCTCTCCATTTGCTAAACCCAATTAGACACTTTTGCAACTAAGGAATATGAGAAGATACCCTTATCCCCTGGTGGAAGTGAGACACAAAGAGACAAACAAAAAAATTCCCACGAACTAACCTATTGCCAAAAGCTTCAAAAACTTTCCACTAGGCAAATCTTTTAACTATAGGCTTTCTGTAAAACATATACACATGCTTGTCATCTTTGGGACAAAAGACTTGAGCGCTCTGCTATGTGGGGAACACACAGCCCCTGGTTCTATCCATGCTGTCAGGCTTCCGTGCTTTGCTCTTAGTGGGATCATAAAATAACCACAATTCCGTTTCGACTCCTTAACTTCAACACATGCTCTGTACCTCCTATTTCTTCCACCAGATTGCCACAGCTGAGGACCAGAGTACTATAACCTGGCACAATGAATTCTGAAAATCTCGTGAGTTTGCTTCCTAAACAGGACTCTGCTAGTGCTTATTGGTCAAGTCACAACACAAATGAAGAATCCCAAATATTTTTGGCTGAAAGTTGGTAAAGGGTGCCTACTTCTTGGCTTGCCAGTCACAAATGCCTTAAGCAGCACATGACAGCAGTGTGCAATGGTTAGAACCTAGGTCGCAGGGGCTGGCGTACCTGGTCTGTGATTTTGCTCTGCCTCTTACTGTCTTGAATAAATCATTTGAATACTTCTGTTCTCAATTTGAGATAATGCAAACACTTACCTCTTAGAGCTTCCGTGAAGATGAGCTGAAATGACGCAGGTATAGCCTGCTCTCTTCTTCACAATGTATTTTGATGTATAGGGGGATTTACCTGCATGTATATCTGTCTATTCAGCACTTGCAAACCTGATGTCTGAGGATGTCAGTGGGGGCATCAGAGCCCTTAGAGCTGGAGCTACAGACAGGTTTGGGCCATCGTGTGAGTGCTAGAAATTGAACCTTTGTCCTTTGAAAAAGCAGTCAGTGCTTTTAACCACTGAGCCTCTCTCTGGTGACAAAGACAACCTTCGTATCCCGACTGAACAAATGCCAGGCTGCACAGAGCAGCCTCCAGGTCTCGTTACTCCTTCTGCTTGTTCTGAGAATGAAGGGGCAGATGTTTCCAGATGTTTAACTCAGGCTCAGTGACTGACAGGAACAAGTACAGAAGAGCCACTACCCTGTTTCCTCACACAGATGAGCGATCAGGCTCCGGCAGATTAGTAGAGCCGTGACAAAGTCATTCTAAAAACTGATAGCCACATGCAGCCCCTCTGAAATGTCATTTTCCTCAAGACCAAGTTTTATTAGCAACCTGTCCCCCTGTACTGAGTGATAGTGGGGATGAATCACTCATCTCGCTTGGCAACAATCACTGGAGCTATCCCATTCTGACCTCGAGTGCTTGTTCCTAAATCCCATGTGCTCAGGATTGACCTACAGAGATGCGGGGCTTGATCCTCACCTGGTGTGCTTGCTGTAAGAGCTCCATCCTCTCCTGGAGGATCTGACAGTCGTACTCCCTGCTCTTCCTCAACATCTGCCGCCGTAACTTTTCAACAGCCGTCCGCAGCTCCTCCTGCTGCTTGTCACTTAACAGTTCACCGAACTTGATCACCGTCTCTTGCTGCAGAGCATTGTACAAGGTAGCCTCTAGCTCCTGGATTCTCTGGCAAATAGAATCAGAGAAGTCTGACTTTGGGACTGAGTATTTGGATGTGATGCAGGGAGAGTGTGCGTGGATGGATGAGTCAGGAACATGGTACCTCAGACTCAGAGCATTTTAAAGCTTCTGAGTGTCTCCCGCCTGGCTTCCTTCTGGACATTCCCTTTATGAGACACCACAAGCGTCACCCACACAATGCACAGACTGCTCTGTAAGTAAGTTCATTTTCTTTCTTGGGATTCTGTTAGTTTAGATCCTTGTTTTTGGAGTCCCTCTGTAATAATGATTGCACCTCCACATCTTCTTCCCTGTTCCAGTGTAGCCCAGAATGGGCTTAGTCCCCTTCCTGCTTGACAGACCCTGAAGCTTGTTGGAATCCTATGCCACAGTGGCTGTAGTATCAGGATTAAGTATAAGAAGGAAACAGAAACAAGTACTTGAAATTGAAGAGATGTTTCAGGCACAAAACATCATCTCTTAGTCACATGACAGTACTCTGTACTTGAAGATGTCTTATGGTCTCTAAGCTTTTTCCTTGAAAGAATGGGAAATATGATTCAAGAATGGCCTAGAAGTTTGGATGCTCACCTTACTAGACCTGGATGGAGGTGGGTGGTCCTTGGACTTCCCACAGGGCAGAGAACTCTGATTGCTCTTCGGGCTGATGAGGGAGGGGAACTTGATTGGAGGAGGGGGAGGGAAATGGGAGGCGGTGGCAGGGAGGAGGCAGAAATCTTTAATAAATAAATAAATTAATTAAAAAAAGAGAATGGCCTAGAATCTTGGAGTTTTCCTGGTGTGGTGTATGTATGTACAAATGTGTGTAGGTACACATACACATGGATGTACACTCCTGTGTGTGTGTGTGTGTGTGTGTGTGTGTGTGTGTGTGTCAGAGGTTGGCATTAGTACCTATCGACATGGGGATCTCAGAGACCCTGCAGCTCACTAATCTTGCTTTGGCTTTTCTAGCAGTGGAACTGTAGCACCCATAACTGTGCCTGGTTTATACAACAGAGCTGGGATCAGATCTTCATGCTTGGGTGACAAGCATTTGATCCATTTTCCCAGCACATGGTCCCTTTCTTTTTGCTAGAATGAGATTTATAGCTGCTCAAATGTCTTTCTCAGTTCCCCATTTGAGATATATATCTATATTTATATCAATATCTATATCTATCTATCTATCTATCTATCTATCTATCTATCTATCTATCTATCTAGAGAATCTTTGTGTCTGTGTGTGCTACCTATGTCAAATACAGTTGCCTAAGTCTTATTTACCCATAATTCGGAGAGAAGTGAGTTTCCAAGTCCTGACAGGGGATGATTCTCTACTACTGCTCCTGCACCAAGCATATTTCGTCTTTTGAAATTTAAATATGGCATTCTGAATGAAGCCTTAACAGTTTATCTCAGGAGCCTAGCTTGATTTGTTTTCTCAAGGCAGGAGAGACAACGGGGAAACAATAAGGAGTAGGGGGGGGAAGAAATTGCTGTTTTATTTTCTAATTAGTGCCTATTCTCATTCTCTTGCTTTCCCATTCAGCGATACCGGGGTCTCTTACTCATTTGGGAGAGGGCGGACTAAGCCGTCTTCGATACAAACAGGGATTCAGAGTTACAGTCTTTTCCCAGAATGATAAGAACATTATAAAACATTATAAAAACCTCTATTAGCAAGTTTTGAAATGTTCTACTGGTTTGTCTTCTGGTTCATTACTAAGAAACAAGGAGGGTATGGCATAAGAAGAGAAGAAGACCTGGGGTCCAATGTCAGGCACTTTGCAGTATGCATTTTGTAGAAGGGAAGGAATCTGTCGTGAGCCTCTCTAAGTAGAACCATCTATGGGGAGGAAAAGGCACAGTCCACTCACCACCATGGCCTTGCTTGCTGTGGCGGCTTTATGGACCTAAATTAGTCCACAGTTTCTGGAGGAAGGGCTATGTTACAGCTTACCTACCCTTCTACAAACTTGAGCAAAGGTTTTATTCTATAAACCTTGTTTTTCCTCATATGTAAGTTAAGACTAACAGGATTATCTGTGATTTGTATGCTCATTTTAAAAAATAAATGAATTAAAATATGCCTAACGCACATGAAATCCACTATTATTCTGTACATTAGAGTGCCAGATGATGATACTTGATTCAATAAAATCCCCTTGGATCTACACTAGCATTCAGTATGTCTTTCATCTAAATATTACTTAACAGTATATATTTAAGAATGAATTAAAATTATGTGTAAAATACAAGAATATTATAGCTGCCGCAATCTTAGGGTTTCTGTTCCAAAATCGAAGCAGCCATTAATAACTGCATGCATGCTGTGTGTACCCAACTACATGAAATGATGGATTAGATAGGACATCTTAGGTCTGTTGTGTAGAGTGATGGGCAAGCAGTGTTGGCCACTTACAGTACCTACCATATACGCCTGGTCAAGAGCTTGTTTTCTGTAGTCTAGTTCTTCCTCCAGGTAGCCTTTTATTTTGCAGAATTGTTCCTATAAAGAAGGGTCACATTGACAGATTAGGAGAGCATGCTCGGCTAATTAGAAAGTGATACATGAAAGCAACACAGATGAATGTTTTCTCTAGCACACAAGATAAATCACTAGTGTTCGGAGAACTGTTGTTCTCGTCTAAGAAATTAGTTTTGCTTTCACAGCCTCACACAGAGAATGTGAAAATCAATAGCAAGAAGCAGAAGGGGCATAATAAGGAACCACGTGAGAAGCTCCTAAAGACTAAGAGTGGGTGACTAAGGACAGTTGTTGGAATGGTTGTTAATTAATAAGTCTATCTGTGTAGTACACTTGGCTTTCTGTTTCTTCCAGTTTTATGTCCAGAGAGACTGATATTTGGGGGATGGAAGTATTTGCAAGAAATATCTGTTGACAGTGGCAATTGATTTGATCATCCCTTAGAAACATGGAGTATAAGTATTTATAAAGCAGTTACATTATAAATGGGAATGATCCATAATCACAATGTAGGAATGATTTAAGGTTCATAAGAGTCGTGTATAGGTTATATTAAAAGCTGTGGCATTTTATAGAAAGAACTTGAACTTTGGTCTGTCCAGGGGGTTCTAGCACCAGTTCCCTGAGGACACAGAGGAGAGTTGTGCATTGTTACAGTGTGTTTTTCTAAGAATGTCATAAAATTTAATACGGGGATGTTATAGAATAAAGAAACTTAACTTCTTTAAATCAATAAACACAAAGATGAAGGACATTCTAAAGAGCTAGGGTGAATCCACCACACTGCCCTTTGATGAGTATTTATTGGCCCCTGTTGCAAAGCCCGTGTGAGCTGAGAGACATAAACCTGAAGTTCCTTCACACATCCTCAGTTCATGTTCATCTCTCACTGTGTGACCATCTTGTCATTATTAGTTCAAGCTTTGTTTTGGCATATAAGATATTTATTCCCACATGCAAGTCAATACTTTCTGTGGGTGCTTAAGTGAAGAGAAAAGAACTCTTACAGCTAATTGGAGGCTGAAAACCCAGCTGTGCTTAGTTCTGAGCGCTTACAGCAATGCTGCATGGGGTTCCCTGACCATCGCTGGGTCCCGGTGTCCAAAGCACCCTGTAAAGGCTGACTGCCGCATTAATAGTCGAGTACTGAAGGGGCTTCCCATGGACACTTTGATGACAAGCAGTTCTTGTGTGCTTTCACTCTAGATCTTAATTTCTTGGTAAAATTAAGTGCTATGTATAAGACATTTTGATCCCCAAAATTGTTAAGTTCTCTAAAATACAATTTATTGTTATCATAGAAGTCTATATTTGGAGCTATCCTATTTTAAATTGTGTTAAAATGCATGTGAAATAAAATAATCACTTTAATCATTAAAGAGCATATTTATGTGCTTTATGTATATGGGTGTATGTGAAATACACCCATGCTGTTATGATTTTGCAAAAGAGAAACTATGCCCCTTTAACAATCCTATGTTTTTTGTGTCTCTCAACCCCTGACAACCACACTGTGCCTTCCTTTTGTATGAATTTTATGATGCTAGTTGCTCATACACATGGAATGATAGTGTTTGTCGTTTGGTGATAGTTGGTTTCATGCCTGTTCATCCACTTTGTACCTTTTACTAGACACTATGGATGCTTGTTTGCTTAGACTAAACTCACACATATGCATGCCATACTTTGTTCAACCATCTAATCATCAATAGGTATTTTGGCTACATTCACCTTTTAGCGACTGAATAACATTACTATGAGAGTAGGTGTACAGTGTCCTGCCACATCCCAGTTTCCATTCTTTTTGGTATTGCTGGATCATGTGATAATTCTGGTGGACTTTTAAAGCAATCCCCATGCTGTTTTTTATATTTGTATTATTTTATACCTTGGCAGTACCCTGGGTTCTAACTTCTATACTTCTTTGCCAACAACTGTCACTTTCTATGTTTTTCTGACAGCAGCTATCCTAATGGGTGTGAAATAGCTTACAGATTCTTAAAACCAGACATACCCATCAAGCCTGTATTTTTTTCCTTGTTAATTACTCAAAGCAGAAAAAAAATTATTCAGCTTGAGAGAAAATACCTAATTAAATGTCTTTCAACATCAGTTTTATAAATGTTGGCAATGTACGACATGCTTTGGGGGAGTGAGCTTGAAATTATCAGCTATTTCTGAGACATAGGCCCCAAGTCTCGACACAGATCAGTAGGGCAGTTACAAACTTCCACTGGTGCCAGATAAAAATGGCAGTAGTGATGTTCCGTTTCCGTTATGGTATAATGTTTTCCTCTTTACGCTTACCATGTCACTTTCCAATTCCATCATCTTCTGGTGTAGGGCAGCCTCTGCTCCTTCAATCTGCTGTATCCACTAAAGGGTTAAGAAGACAGAAACATTGGGCGTGAATGCTGCACATGGCATGAATTCTGTGGGTCATTCCCTGGAGTGCCTGGGTTTCCCCCTGAAAATGTTGGTTGAAACCTCATGTGAAGACTTAATGCCACCGTCTCCCACACATCATTCATTCAACAAATGTCCTCTGATGTCTACTACACATCAACTACTAAGGATTCAGTGGTGACTTAAGAGTAGCAACGGTTTTACACCCATGGGAGGATTTCTTGGAAACTGGAGTCTCAAGGAAGAGTGAGGGAATTGAATCTCAAGGAACACCATGCCCCATAGCTCAAGGTTATGAGTAAAGGTAAAATCTGAATATATGAAAATTATTCCTATAATGTGATAAAGAATAACATGTAACTTTTTTAAAAGCACACGAAGAGAACTTATTTCTTGATACTCAGAACGCACCATTTGATGTGGGTATTAATAACCCCTACTGTCTTTGGGTCCTATTATATGAGTATAGTGCATCCATGGATTAATGGAACCAGTTATCCGAATGGGTGTCCATCAGGGTGGATGCCGGCTTAGACCATAAGGGGGTAACTGGGCATAGCTGTGAGAGTGCTGGGGGAGCCCCCTTACCTCCTGTTCGGCTTTAGCGTTTCTTTGCTATGTGGCTTTGAAAGGTAGCCTGATATCCCTTGAATTGCAAATTTGTACATGTCAAGTGATATAAATAACAATGAAAAAAGTTTTCAAAAATTTGTGTGAGGTGACAGTCACTAAAGTGTCCCACTGTGAGGTTTTGTTTCTCTTCAGTGTGAACATATGGCACGGCACATCTAACAATTCTACATTCTAGAGCCTTTGTTCCTTGTGAAGACTGTGATAATGGTACCTAGATCCAGTGGTCAGGAGAGGCCAGTTCAAAAGAAGCAGTCCACAAGTGTTCCCTGAGCTTGAACCGACTGCAGCACACTCAGACTGGGACCAGGGTGAGACTGATGGACCAAACGCGGCACAAAAGCCTAGTTCTTACTGTTTTACCTTCCTAGCCCATGCCTTTCATAGAATCAGCCTACATTTTCTTTGCAGTCCCAAATCAAGGCAATTTCACTCTGCATTAAAGGACTGCCACCCCTCATGTCTTCAACTGCATAAGACTCTCTGATCATTGCCACCGAACAAAATACCTAGAACGGCTGATATGAAGTTTGCTAATTCCTGGGGTATCAATGGATTTATTCATTTACTTCTCCAGAAAGCATTTACTGATAATTTCTTCTCTAGATGCTGGAATGGAAATAGGGGAAATGAAGAGAGGAGGAACAAAGACCACATCCACTTCTTTGGGGTTTGGAGTTCACAGGAATTGTGCTGGTTTGAATGACAATGACCCTCCCCTGCCCCAGGCTCATATGTTTGAATGCTTGGTCCCTAGTTAGTGGAACTGTATGGGAATGATTAGAGGGTGTGGCCTTGCTGAAGAAGGTGTATCACTCTGGGTGGCCTTGGAAGTTTTAAAAGCCCAAGCCAGGTCTACTCTTGCCCTCTGCTTGTCACCTGAAAATCAGGAGGTAAGCTCTTAGCTACTGCCCTGGTGCCATGCCTGCCTGCCTGCCTTTATACTCCTCACCATGATGGTCATGAACTGATCCTCTCAAACTGTAATCAGGTTCCCAACTGAATGATTTATTTTGTATGTTGCCTTAGTCACAGTGTTTCATCACAGTGATAGAACGGTAAGTAGTTAGGATAGGTGGGCAGGGTGAAAAACAGAAGTTTGACCATTTAAACGCAATTGTCAAAACCCAGGGAGGAAAAGCACAGTCACCGTAAAAACATCAAAAGCTTAACTGGGCCTGACGGACTAGGAAGACTTGCCTGCATACGAGGTAGCTGGGTGGCTATTATAGCCAGGCAAAGGTGGAAAGGGAAGACATGAGCATCTCGGTAAAGACTTCAGGGTGAAGGATTACATGATGAGAGGAGGAAGAACAGAAATGCAGAGAGAGAAAAAGATAGTGAAGGAGGGAAAGAGAAGAGAGACAGAGAGGGAGAGACAGAAGGAAGAAGACATGGAAAGATGGAGGGAAGGAAGAGAGGGGGGTGAGAAAAGGGAAGGAAGAGAGACAGGAGGGAAAGAAGGAGAAAAAGACAATAAAGAGAGAGGATGAAGATGATGATGGAGAAATAATTACACAGGCCTTGAAAACCAAGGACCCTTTTGGTAAATTCTGGATTCTGTCCCTTCTGTAGGGAAGCTATGATGCCATTCCTGTGCTGGGGAGGGGAAAGAACAAGTGATCAGCCTTGAAAGTAATGCTGAGGGAAACAGGTCCTAAAAGAGCAACTTCAAATGCAAGCACTTCAATATGTGTTTCAGAGAGAGAAGTAAGGCCTTCCTAAATCTCAAAATAAACAAAACATCCATTTGTTTCATGTTTTTCGGAACCAACAGTTATTTCTCTTATTGTTTGATACTTGACCTATTAAATTAAAATTTTTCAAGTAATCAGCAAAATGCTTTTAGTAAGAACACATAAAAATGGTTTGTTTAAATGAATATCATTAAATGGGGCATGCCAATATTTTGTGGTTTTAATTCTATACCAACTCTTCTTTCTTTCTCTCCCTTTATGTTATTATTTTGAGAATTAGAACATTGCTATTAGAATTGTAGAATTTGATCATTTCAAATTCAAAAGAGCTGATTGTTGCTCAGGGTTTAATGCAACCTTTAACATTATGTCTACGCCTGTCAGAAATAAGACAGAATCTTAATGGATATACGCAATAAAACTTTCATGCTATTCAGGCATCTGCACACAACTCCCTGCTATGTGCAGAATCTCTTCAATTAAAATCTTTTGAGAAAGATTCTTGCTATATAAGCCAGGCTGGCCTTGAACTTGCCTTTCTGTTTTTCAAGTGCTGTCGTTAAAAGCGTGTACTACCACACCTAGCTATGGGTTCACAGACTTGGACACAACCAGGAATCTGGCTTCCCGGCTTTGGTTCTCCTCCGCCTGCCATGTCATTTACCAGCTTTAGACACAAGAGGTCAGCAGTACACCAGTATTGTGCTTTCAGGCTGGGGATGCAGTCAAGCCACAGAATCTATGAGGAACAATAGGTGCGCACGCGACACACACACACACACACACACACACACACACACACACACACACACACTAAAGGGACAGCCTGTAACTAGAGCAACTCTAGTTTCATCAGCTCTCAACAAAATCCTTCTTACTGGCTTCCCAGTTCGCTGGCATTGCTTGAATGATGTAACTGAGAAGGGTCCCCATTTTGATGGTGTATTTTGCAAGTGACTTTAATGTATAAAAAAAAAAAAATCCCCCCATCCCACAGTGGTCTATACATTTCTGCCTGGTCTCACTCTCCTGGGTCAAATCTCATCAATCACATATTCAGTAATGCCGAATCGGGTGCTCAGAGCAGGTGGTGCACTCTCTTGCTCTCAGACACCAAGCCTAACCCTGGGTGACTAGAAACGCCAGCTTTGTTCCTTACCTTCTCCGCCAGTGACAGCACAGTGCTGGCCTGAATTATGGCCACCTGTTCCTCGTTCCTCAAGTTCTGTAAAAGACCAAAGAAGATCAATAAGGTGAAAATGCTTGTGACACGTGCACCGTGGAAAAATGTGTGTGCCGTGAACGCGGCGTGTGTGCAAATAGCCTCTGCGTACTCTGGCTGCTAACAATTCCTCACGAAGAGTCCAGTGCAAAGTCTCGTGCTTGGTGTGACTCTAGGGACACCTCATTACAGTCACGCTAGGGAAGCCCACATTAAGGAGGAGCTGTCCCCTCAACAGTAGTTCTGACAAGATTTCACTGCTTCTCATTTTCAAAGGGGAAATGGCGCGCCATTTTTCCTTGTATGTTCCTCGATGTACTACGTGTGCCATTCACCTTATGCTGCCCTGAATTAACAGCCCTTGGCCCTGCTCAGAGCGAGCTGCTAAGAAGAAGAAGAAGGAAAAAAAAATTATAGCCTCCTGCTTCATTTTATAGGGCTGCCAACAACCCCAGTGTTTAGCCGTCTTTCTGAATGCCTGGCTGATTAATTTTACACTGGCTGCCTGTGAGCGGCAGTCAGAAGGTAATTGGCTGTAATCACTGCAGATGTGGTCTGCATGCCAACCTGAACCCTCGGCCGCATCTCCTTTCTACAGTGACCTTCCGGCCGTACCCATGGCTGTTGTGGCATGTGGGATTCTCTGTGAGGAGGTACATGCTTAGGCAGACATGCTGTCTGACTCGCTAGTGGCTTACACTTGGCACAGAGCCAAGTATTTCTTGACTTTGTGCAGGCCAGTCCACACCTTTGTCACATGTAATTGGTGTGTCACTTACCCCATTATCGCCCAGGATGTCAAGCTGCTTTATGAGATCAGGGATGTTGACATCCTGCAAAATCAAGGAGACTTCAGGTCAGGCACAGATGCGGCAGAGACAAGGGCACGGATGCAGGTACACTGGGCAGCTCAGAGTGGAAGCAGAAAGAGCCATGCAGAAGGTAAAAGGGGCAACCAGAAACAGCAGAAGGCACCCCAGGTGTCCCTCAGGAGGAAGTCCTCAAGTCTTTTATGAGGCCTCCCTCATACTTTGTGGGGAACAGCGCCACACTATCTCAGCCTTAGCATGTAAAATGTGTTCTGCTAAGTGCTAAAGAAAGAACCACATTTGATCATGTAGGCGTCACTTTATAAGGCCTAAGCACCTCTTAAAGAGCTAAGATCCTCCTTCAATTTAATCTATCAAAAGCAGCATGAACGGGACATCAGAAGTCTCATCTCACTCAAAAATCGCATGGCATTGAATTCTATAGCATCTGGGAAGAAGGAAGAGACTCGGGTGACCTGTTCTATCTAGTTGACTTGAATTGTGTTTCTTGAAGCACATGGTTTATTTATATTTTGCCGAGGTAACTAATACCAGTTATTTTACTACATATTCCGATCCTACACCATCCATTATGTTACTCTGATCTAAATGACCCACCTCTGTACTTGCCACTACCCTTTATACCTCTGTCAAACATTTCTTTCATGTCCTATTGACTTCCAAGAGATGTGTGACTATTTTTGCCCTGTACCTAGGGACTGACACACAGAGTGACCACGAGCAGCCGTTCCTTTCCCAGTTCCATTTTCCTAACGTCTGCACACACAGAGGACCCAGCGTCTATCTGCCTACCTTCACACCTTCTTTCATGCAGTAGATCTGCAGGGCACTCACGCCGTCTGAGAAGGGGTGAATTTGTAGATTAAATGGAGGGGATCTCCTTTCTCTCTCCTTGAAAAATATAAGAAAAGAAAAAAACAAAGGAAAGAAGAGAAGCGGTAATGGATTAAACACTAAGCCAGTCGTCTCTTTATACTGTCTCAGCGGTTTATCAATGTGTCATTTAGCCAAAAGAGAAAAAAAAAAACTTAAACTCAAGATGTGCATGCCTAATGGATGGAAGAGAGTTAAGCAGTCAGTCAACTACAAACACGGGAGAAAATTTATAGATGGTGTCATCCACCCTTGAAGATTCTTGTTCGGGGAGATGTGGAAAGTGGAGATGCAACTTCAACACTATGAATATGTATTCCCCCCAGCTATCCTAGGGTGGGCCGGCTCTGGAGGTTTGTGCCAGCACAAACCTCTGCACATCTGATCCTCCCATCCTTTATGGGCGGGATATATAGGCTGCAGGGATGACTCCCTCCTCTCCACTGGGGCATGACTTTACCTCCAGACGAATCTGAAACAACCTCGAGACAAAGATCACTAGCAAAGCAACAGAAAAGTCAGAGGAATCTGCCAGCACCCAGAACCTCTGTCAGATTTTGTAGAATACAATGAAAGTGTGGCATAATGTGTTTTATTTATTAATTTAAGATTTATTTATTTATTATGTATTCAGTGTTCTGCCTGCATGTATCCCTGCAGGCCAGAAGAGGGCACCAAATCTCATTCCAGAAGGTTTGAGCAAATGTGGTTGCTGGGAATTGAACTCAGGACCTTTGGGAGAGCAGGCAAAGCTCTTAAACACTGAACCATCTATCCAGCCCCACGTTGTGTTTTATTTAAGAAGCAAATCCTCTGAAACCACCACCTTAAGTTTGTCCCCATGAAACTAAGTACTTCCTAAGTCAGTCCCCAGCTGTTGGACGAGCACATTCACCATCAGAACAATTCTAAGCATCCTCAAGATTTATCATTACAGTCACATGGCGTGGGCAACAGTTCTAAGGTATTTAGCCTCAATTGTTACAACCACAAAATCTTGAGCTAATTCTGTGGTCTGAATGAGAGCGTGACTCTGAAATGCCTAGTTCAGGCCCAGACCCTAATGCCCTCTGCACATGTCATGATTGTGGCATCATTAGCGGCAGCGTTTCCTTACTTCTAGCTCTAGGTTGCGAAATTCCAGCAGTTCATTCTGGTCTCTGGCGTCCTGTAGTTCCTGCTGTAGCCGGTGGTTCTCTGCTTCCTGTTTCTCTATCTGATAAAGCAAACCCTGGAGTTAGGCAAGTACAGCAAGGAGCACCTTGGTAAAGCAAGCAGGGATGACCTTCATGCGCTCAGTAAGTGGGATTTGCTCTGGACCGTGACAGCCATCCCTAAGGAGATGTGGTTACGGTAGGGTTGGCTTTTCTTGTAGCCGTCTTTCAGGTAATTTTGGGAGGCACAAAGACAAATGTCAAGAAGAGTCTTTCTCTGAGTATGAAGGCTAGGGCTTCTGTGGTCAGTGCATTTGAAACATTCACATGTCCCTTACCAGTCAGACACGGTGTGCTGGGAAGAGATTTAAGGATGTTTATGGGAGCAGCTGACATGCTTATCTCTGAAGATACCAGTTGTCCCGGGGATAATCTGACCACTAATTTACAGCTTATAATTATAGATGTTTATGGCTACAATCTAACTAAATTATGCCTATCAACTCTAACAATCTTTTGTATGGTGACAAGATTTGATATATACTTTTGTAGGAATTCTGAAATACAAACTACTTGCTTTAAACAGCTCATATACACAAAACTAAGAGTTATAATTGTTGAACAGAGTGATGCGAGACTCCACTATATGGAATTCCAACCTTAGAAAACTGCCCAACACTTGATCAATCGGCTTCAAATAGTATCAGTGTCATCTCTACACAGGCATATGTGAACATGCACACACACACACACACATACACACACACACACACAAACACACAATTTAGCAGTCCTGATCTACACTATGAATCCAGGAGCTTTGATCCTCACCCACCTGGAAAACACTCCTCTATCTTCTTTACTACAGAAATCATTCACTTCCCCGACCACCAACCTCTAAATTCCACGCTAGTCTAAAAACTCAGAAATGGCATCTCCTTCCCTGTTGTCCTGTCGAGCTGTTTGCTGTTCTTTTTTAGTTGCTACCAAATTGGTTGGTTTTCTAAGACAGGGTATCTCTACGTGGATCAGCCTGGCTTCAAACTCTCGGTCCCCAGTGATCCTCTGGCTTTATGTTTCTATAGGGTCTATAGTACCCAGAGCCACACTATTGTCCTTTATGACCTTCTTAAGGGCACCCTGTACAATCTGATGAAGCGTGAGACATGGGCTGAAGTCAGATGTGCACCAATGTGCTTACCTTCAGGCAGGGATCACGGCTGAGACCCTGTGCATTTGAGGAAACCCGATGGTCTTTATGCACTGCCTTCTCTGTCTCTAACTATGAAGGAATCACTCCACACCATGGCAGTTTAAAAGCTTAAATGCAGCAATACAAACACAGGAACTTTCATTTTAGAGTGGATCTTACTTTCCAAAACATATAATTGAAAATAAAATATTTAGTGTGTGTGATTTCTTTTGCTGTGTGTGTGTGTTTCTGATTTTGATATAGAAGACAATTCTTTTTGCCAAAAAAAATATATCAAGAGACGAAAGAAAACCAGAAAGCACACTGGAATCAGTTGCTGATAAAGGACCATAACAACACTTCCTGGGACATCTCTGGGACTAGAGGATAACAGCAGCAGAGCAATGGGGAGGAGCTATGTGACATATGGCATTTTCTGATGGGATCAACAAGGGTTTTGTTTCACCATGCACCCTATCAACTTCTCTGTCTTTCTGTCTGTCTCTCTCTGTGTTCCTGTATTCTTCCCACCTCATGCACACACACACACACATGTGCACACAAATATGGGTGTGAGTAGCACAAGAGGCCAGAAGAGGCTATTGTATCCCTTGAAGTTGGAGTTACAAGCACTGTAGGTGCTAGAATTGAACGCTGGTCCTCTAGAAGAACAGCAAGTGTTCCTAACTGCTGAGTCAGCTCTCCAAGACCTTATCTTGGACATCTGTAGTCTAATGAAATTTCAGTTTTTTTTTTTTTATGAATTCACTCAGATCATAAAGGGGGTTATCCTTCTTAGAATCTTATCACTGGATCTGTGATCCGGTATTGGAGGAGATCACCGGATCTGGTGGCTACTGATACAGTCTGAACAGTTGTTTACCAATTTCAATTTATTGCTATGAGTGACTTTTCTTGTCTCTCCTTGTGTCTCTATTTCACTTTTTACTTGTTTTGTATCAGGGACTGAACACAGAGCTTTAGGTGTGCTATCACTACCACTGAATCCTTGTTTTGTTTTTTTTTGTTTGTTTGTTTGTTTGTTTTTTCTTCCACAACAATCTCACTCACTTGCCCAGACTAGCCTTGAACTCCCTGTGTAGCCTCGGGACACCTTCCTGTGTCAGCCACTTGAATAGCAAGCCACTTGTGCTACCAGGCCCCCCTAGCAACATTTCTTTATAGAAACCTTGAGGTCTGAATTTGGGGTACTGGCCACCTCCATACCTCAGTCCTGCTACATCTTCAGAAAGACAGGATGCACTAGCCCTGTCAAACTAGAGGAAAGCAGACAGCTTTTCCGTCCCACTCTGACGAGGACATAGTGGTAGATTTTCACTAGCTATCAGTAAGAGAAAAGATTGGAAAGAATAATGCTGAAATAATTTTGAATTGACCAGCAGAAAAATTCTTCTGTGTTCAAAAGCTTTAAAGTCAGTTTCTGTCAAGGGTAAGATTCTGTTTGAAATCTCTCATTAGACTGCAGAAAGAATGTACCGAAGGAAACTTTAACCTTGAAATGTTCTACGATGTTAAATTACCTCAGATCAAAAGCCTGGGGTTAATTATCTCTATTGGTTAGAAACATATCTTAGTTTGTTGACCAGTTTCCTAGACTTGGTATTTTTTTGTTTTGGATGCCTCTAAAACATCAATCCCTACCTTTAATAAGTAAAAGAAAAGAAGCTGGGCAGTGGTGGCGCAGGCCTTTAATCCCAGCACTCGGGAGGCAGAGGCAGGTGGATCTCTGTAAGTTCTAGACCAGCCTGCTCTACAAGGGCTAGTTCCAGGACAGGCTCCAAAGCTACAGAGAAACCCTGTCTTGAAAAACAAACAAACACACAAAGACCAGCAGCAACAACAACAATAATAAAAAAAAAAAGTAAAAGAAAAGAAAAGAAAAAGCCAAGCTCAGCAAATATGTCTCAAAGTGAGAATATAGTCTGTGAGAGTCAGAGCACAGACATATTCGGTCACTTTCTTATACGGAACAACATGTGCAGTGAGATTTCTTTTTTTAGGGGGGAGGTGGGTGAAGAACCACACAGGAGATGCTCATGAGCACGTGTGTGCACGCACACATCGTCTACACGCACACAGCACACAGCATATATACAGTACATATATATGGTCTACACATCGCTGGGGCGCAGGAATCACGCCCTCACAAGTCTGCAGCCATGCACGAAGTGCCACTTCACTGATGGTGATGGCAGGGAGGGATGGGATGCGGTCGAGCACGCAGCAGAGGACAGAGCAGCGGTGGGGAAGCCTCCCCTTCCCTGGCCCCTGTGCCACTCCTGAGAGCACCCCCTGCTGCTCCTGGATCATCATTCTCTCCTCTGCCCCACTAGGGTGGTGGCGCCCAACATACCTTTTCTAAAAGCTCCTGGTTTCTCTTAATGAAAAGTTGTTTCTCTTCTACCCAGTGTGAGTCCTGTTTGACAAAGAATATCGCGCAGTCAGCATTTCAGAGTGCCACGAAGGAGTCTGTGTGCTCAAACCAGCCGGCCGGAGCCGTGTTCTTCCCACCCAGTTTGCCTGCACAGAGTAACTGGTTCTGGCAAATGGTGCCCACCCTTGCCGGCTACGTTTTTCAAGAATTCTGGGGCCAGAATTTGCCGGGACAATTTAGCCCTGGTTCCAGCGTCACTTACTATCGCTACCTTTTCCAGTCTGAATAATCCAGGACCAGCCTTCTGGGGACTCAGAAGTGACCACACAGGCAAAAAAAAAAAAAAAAAAAAAAAAAAAAAAAAAAAAAAAAAAAAAAAAAAAAAAAAAAAAAAAAAAAAAAAAGTGAAACAGGTCAGAATGCACACGGGCTCGATACATATGGATGGAAAACATTAAAATGCAGAACCATATATGGGGCACGGAGGCAAAGAACACAGCTCGGGGAGGGAAGCTCTGCCTTAGCAGTTTGTGACCGCTCTAGGCCTCGTCCATCTGGGCGCCCTTTCCTCTGGCCTCTCTCTTACCCAACTTCACTCACCGCTGCGGCTGGGTTTGCACTCTGGGAGGATAGCAATGGGGACAGGAATGGTTTACATTCTGACACAGTTTTGAGAAAGGTCACTGTGGTGAGCCAAGCCATGTCCTGGGTGTGGCCCATGAATAAGGTGAGCCAGAGGAGAGGCAGCCTGAACCAGCTGCGCCTGCAGAAAAGCTAGCAACCGAGCACCTACCTGCCCCTTCTGAGCTAGCGTTGCCTCCAGATCTTCGATTTTGGCCTTGTATCTTTGCACCTCTGCCTGGAGCTGCTCTTGTGCCTGGGGGAGATCAAAAGTCCAGAGTTCAATGAGTGACATGGCCATGCCCTTCGCTAGTGCTCAGCAGATTTGTTTGTGTAGGGGCGGGTTATTCCTCTAAGTTGCCTTCACAATCAAAGAAGATCTAGAGTCTTGACAAACGTCCTTATGGTCCCCTTTGTCATCCCACGAACATTCACGCTCTCTAGTTACCACTAAAAAATAGTGGACACCCATCACACTCCAGACTCCACCTTGACTTCACCTTTGGCCCGGTGACATCCCTGCTTTTTAAATCCTTTATGGTAACTCACTGCTAATCTATTTAAATGAACTTCTTTTCTAAGGAGAAATAAGTCTTATTTTCCTCTCTGAGTTTGACTGTTTCTTTCAGAGCCAACTTTCTGCTCTGGTACCTAAATCTAAGTTGAAAACTTTTTATTTTACTTTTCATAATAGTCTATCTATCTATCTATCTATCTATCTATCTATCATCTATCTATCCTCTGCAGTATGATGGGTTAACAGATACTGACAGTGAAAACCTCAAATATGATAATATTGAAGAAAATACATGAACATCTCTTTCTGATAATAGCTGGCCTGTCTGCTTCAAATCAAAGTTTAGTCTTTAGTATTTATCATTGTGTGTGTGTGTCTGTCTGTCTGTCTGTGTGTGTGCGCGTGCATGCTACCACTTAAAAATAGGTACTTGTAGAAAAGAAGAGTACCAATCTATCATCTAAATGACTAAGAGTGGTTGCTGTGGCATCTCCCAGCATCTTGTGATTCCTTCAGAAAGAAAAGTGGAGCAACACCACTGCAGAGATGTGCTCCTTCTTGGCTCTTGCCAAAGTCCATAAGGCAACTTGCTAAAGTTTTTTAGGTGGTCCCAACTCTGCAGCTTAAAGGCTGGACTCAAGCCCTAGCATCAGGACCCCAGGTAACTAATTTAACTTTGGCTGAATGAATTAATAAATAACTTTCTTTCTTTCTTTCTTTCTTTCTTTCTTTCTTTCTTTCTTTCTTTCTTTCTTTCTTCATTCCCTTGTCCATCCTTCTTTTGAAGAAATTCTTATAAATAACAATCATGACATTCTAGAAAGTAGATCCAGTAATACTGGAACAATAATTCAAGTTTTACCACACCTAGCTGTGTGACCTGTAATGGGCAAGTCCATTAATATTTTTGGTCTTAAATTCTCTTACAGAAGCATCTGAATTAGGAGCTGACACAAGGGCTCATTCGAACATTGTCTACGAAATTCTTAGGGAGATGTAGATGCAATGTTTTACACTTTTTAATTAAGAAAAGAAAGTGGCTTAATCAGCACTTTTGAAAAAACAAAATAACTATTATTTTTAAGCAAAGAACTTAATAAAACGGATCATTAAAATCCAACATGTGTTAGACAATTTAAGTTCTCAAGAAGTAAAAATAAGAAACACACACTCAGCTGTCTTTAAAGGAACAAAAGCATTGATCTGTGTGTGGAAGTTTGTTAGGATTTAATAAAAAACAAAAGCCTCGGAGGACAAAAGGGCACAGAGAAGGCTGTGTTGCTGACATTTTAATGTCGTTGGTGCTTTAATGATGCAACCTCTGCAAGTGGATTCCAGGCCCTCTTGCAGGTCCACACTCACCTTGGCTTCTCTTTCAGCATCTATGATGCCTCCAGTCTGCTCCTGCAAGAGGGCATATGCTCTTTGGAGGGCTTGGTATTCTTTTGTTAATTGTCGAAACCGTAACTCAGATTCTTCAGCAGCTAGACTCTGGAGGGTTGAAATGCAAAAAGTCCAAAAGTAATTATGTTATGTCTGCGTCTTATGTTCTGTGTCAACAGTGACATCTGCCTACTTTCATAAAGAAAAGATTTATTTGATTTTATTTTTAATTCTGAATTATCCATGAAAATGTGAATACAGACTATGGTATACAGATAGATGGTGGAAAATATGTAAGACATTATTTTAATGAAAGAAATGGTTATTAATTTTTACAATAATGATCTCTTCCCATTTGGTCTTGAATAATACCCAATTTTAGATCCAAACTAAGAAGTAATACCCAAAGTTTGGATCTAAATTTCAGGCAAGGATTCTTAAAGCTTTACTCTCATTTCTTTCCATGCATTCAGAGACATAAATAGATCACTAGTTTGTGGTTAATATTCATCCCTACTAAATCATGGCACTCCCTCTCAGCCCCAGAACTTAGGTTTGGGGCATAATTCAATTATCTCCAGAGAATTTGGTCAAAAATGTGGAATGAGGAGGTGCAAATGAAGATTAGTTGGGAAAGTGCTTGCCTGGCATACACAAAGGCCTGCTTCACTTCTCAGAATTATATATACATACACATACATATATACATGTATACACACACACACACACACACACACACACACACACGGAGGAGTTGTGGCATCACCTCAAATCTCAGAACTTGGAAGGTAGAGGCAAGAGGATCAGAAGTTTATGCTCATCTTTAGCTGTCTAAGGGGTCTGGGGACAGCTAGCATTATGTGTAACTCTATAAAAAAAATAGTGTGGACTGAGTGATTTCATTCCCCTGATCCTGACTTGGTAGTTGTGTTCAGTGTAGCTGAAGCCTCTGGATAGTTCTGAAGATGGTGGACCACAGAAGAAGGAGTTTACTTAGACACTGCTTTACACTGAATCTAGAAGCCTCTTGGACTTGCTCTCCCTTTTAAGCCTTCCACAGCTGAAGATCTTTGGGAAGTCACTTTTACTGTGAGGTGAGTAAGCAAATTACAGAGCCACAGAGAATGTTTGAGATGTCTCTAGAGAGATTCCATGACATAGATGATGCCTACTTTCAAGAGATATCAAAGTGGAGCATGATCTAAAGACTGGTCAAGGTCACAAGATCAGCTTGTGCTTTTCCTTCCCCTTAGAGGAAAGATTTGGTGACAATATTGTACAGGACCAGAGGAAAGAAAAAGCTTACTTCATCCAAGTCATCATCGGGAGTGGCAGGTGTCCTGTCCGTTCTAAAGGAGGCCATGGATGATGTTTCTGAATCCATGGAGTCCTCATCATAGCCAATGAATGGATCCAAAACAGGCCTCTAGGTGGAGAGAAAATATAAACTTACTAACATGACTAAAATCAGCAAAGAATGTCATATCCAAGCTCCATTCACTATGACAGATTCAGATGAGCATAAGGATCCAGGTTCTTTACCAGTTCTTTGGTGAAGTACAAACACTAAGCAGGAACACAATACCAATCCATCTCTTGCCCATATTTTTCACTTCTGACACACTTAAAGGAAGTGTGTTACTATTTGGCTGTCTTCTAAAGCAATCATAATCTGGTTACATTACCTTCTATGTCATGATGAGTTAATGCATTGTGCCCTTTTAAGTATTTAAAATTGGCCTAAGGGGCTTGGAAAATGGAGCCATCCATGTTAAGGAGGTCATGGGGTCTTAACTCTAGTTTTCCAATCCCACATCCAACCCAAGTGATGTACATGGTAAAAATGAACACAGAAATCAAAACAACAAGCTATGCATTGTAGTGGCTATAAAAATAATGGTGGACTGAGAAGGTCATTATCATTACTTCCCAGATGATAATAATGCAAACACATCAATCAGTTATAGGACAGATATCATAAACTAATATGATTCAATGGAAGATATTGATTATGTATATCTCTTACATGTTCTTAGGATGTAACCCATGCACTTGTCAGAAGAATCTTCTAATATTAAACCCACTGACTTTCCTTTTAGAGGAAATCATAGCCTTTCAGGTTAGGGCACAACAACACAGCCATTTTTCAGACTAAGAAATGTCAAGAGATTGTTTTTTAAAAAACAAAACAAAAACAAAAAAAAACCAAGTAGTTCTCATGGTTAGCTGCAGCTCAAGACCATCTGATCTATCACGTCTTTGCAGGAAGGTTCCTTGACACGCCTTCCCTTCCTGGCTCTTGGTGGCAAATGCCCGATAAAAGTTTCCTCATTACCTTGATTGGCTTCGAGCTTCTCCTGTGCTTTCTCCTACGGATTAGTTTTTCTCGATCCTAGAAACGGAGAAGGACTTTTCAGACCAAAGTTTGTCACACATCTCTCAAGAGTTTTGTTATCTCTTCCTTCTGCCTACAGAGGGCATCAGATCCAAGAGAGCCTCTGAGGATGGATCCGGGCAATAGAATTCACTGGCTGAGCAATCTGTGGCCACTTGTTTTGTTTTTCAAAGAGACAACTGTTCTCCCCTGAGAGATTATATATTTTTATTTGAAGAATGATTTTGTTTTACAAATTTGGTAGTGTTTGGACATGACTTGTCAATATTTTTGGAGTATGTATATTATAATTTTCCTGCCATATAATCAAGAAGTGTGCTGGGTTCCTTCATTTTAGACCTGAAAACAGGGTCCCATAACGAGTAGTTGTGCTCTCTGATGCCCACAATTACGTTGCATTTGTGTGAGAAAATATTGTTCCTAGTTAGAATATACATTTATTTTTTTTACATCTTGTCATCTCTTAGCATAGGCAGGTGTCCCTTGATTAGTTTGGGTGAGGATGGGGCAGGAAGTGGAGCACCTACTCTGTTGTGGTCACTTGCTTTAGCTTCTGGCTTATTTGGGGGAGACATGGCTGTGGTTTTCTGAGAATCTTGGTGAATACCTACGAACTGAGAGCAACTTTGTGACCTGTAAGGTGTAAGCATAGCTATAGCTACTGGGACTACTTGTGATTTAACCATTAAGGACTTAATATTTTTACTGCAAATTTGGGCTAGCTACCTGATCAATAGGAAATCTACAGCTTAATTTGAGGGTTTCAAAGTCAGTATGTCCCTAGTCCGGTGACTCCATGAGATATAAGAGTTATCAAGGTAGAAATGAGAATCCCAAGCTTCAGCTTATGTTTGAATATAATTTAAAACATTGGCATTTAGACTTTACTTTTTGTCTTAATGTATAAAATATTTTGATTGTGGATCCTCACTATAGCTAAAACTTAAAAAAAATTATACATTGTATACTCTCTTAATCTAAAAGGTGCAAATTATATATGAACAATGGATGAATTTTTTCAAGACAGGATTTCTCTGTGGAAGAGTCCTGGTTGTTGGTTGTCCTGTAACTCACTTTGTGGACCATGGTGGCCTTGAACTCACAAATATCCACCTACCTCTGCCTCCCGAGTGCTGGGATTTAAGGTGCACACCACCATCCAACAACAGTGGACAATTTTTAAAGGGAGAGTAGCAAGTAATTGCAGACAGAAGTAGACTCTTTCGCTCCCAACGGCAGTGAAACAAAGTTCACCTATTCTGGAGATTATTGTGAAACAGCCCCCACCCCCACCCCTATGAGTAGTTCAGATCTACAGGCTTTGGATTATTCTTGAAATAAAAAGAAATAAAGATACCATTCTTGGAATAAAGACAGAGAGGTGAAGAAGGAAGCCTGAAGGCTTCAAGAGGTCTTATCCTACCATACTGTCAATAGTAACCTGAATCAGATGCAAACGGGACCTAGTCAACAGGAACTGAAGTATCTATCCATGAAGTGTAGACTGGAATTCCTGCTCTATTCCAGATTTTTGACAATGTTCTTCATTCGCAAAGCCTTTAACAGATTGTATCTATGTGCTATGTGCTGATTAGGTGTTAGAAACAAGGATTATATATGGTCCTGCTTTTGCAGGCAAAAAATTGAATTGCTGAGGCTCAGGAGAGTGACAGTGGAAAGCAACTATAAGATACCCAGATCTACCTAACAATGCCTCTGAAACGTCGCTTAATGGGGCTCATATTCATGCTTCTAGACTAGTTGGCAAATGGTTAGAATTGGCAGGTATAAATCAGTTTAATTATATAAACGTTTTGGGCTAGAGTTTCTTGTCCATAATTACATGCTGCACACCTGACTATGGGCATTTGGAGTTAATCCAAATGATGAAGGGCTTCCTGATGTGTTAGGTGTTGGCTCCCCATCCTTGAGAATGGCTAGGGCTTTGCAGATGAGTACACCTACCCTTGTGAGCTCGTCAATGATGTTCTGTTGCTCTATGACCTGCAGTTTCAGAAACTCTGTCTCTTGTTCTTCATTAGCTTGGTCAAGGTCATTCAAAGACTTCAGTTTCTTTAAGGGTGGGTGAGATGTTATTTTTTCTCTCTAAATTGGAGAAGAAGAAATTACAAGTGGAAACCTCAAAGATCCCCAATTTTAGTAATTGGTAAATTTGTAAAAATTGGGTCCCAGCTAATTTGAATCCTGTCCCCTCTTGGTGACAGACTTTTATATTTACCAACTAAAACCCTCAAGTACATTTTATCTGCTATACCACATTTAAGTCCTTGGCAATGTTTTGGACATTTCTATAGTCAGTTTATTGTGGAAGTCTTTTCAGGAATGTATGATCATATCAGTCATCCATATATAATACAAGCCATGATATTGATTTCCCAGCTATCAAGCAAACTAAAAGGCAGGCATAAACTTCCTCCACATTTCCGTGGCATAGGAGCCACACACTGAGGCTTTTTGCTTCTCCACATATAAGTGTTTGAGGAGTGCAGGTATCCCCTTCTCTTGCTTTCCTTGCTTCTGCAAGGGGAAGTCTAAGCAGAATATGAGAAACAACCTAAGCATAACCCAATAGGTCATGGGTCCCAGGAGAGGAAGCAAAGGAGGAAGCAGCAGTTTCTGCAGCGTCTGTGATACACACCATTTCTGAGTTCTCCTTTGTTACAGCTTTTAGTTTCTCCTCCATGCGCTGCAAAGACACCATCAGCTCATCGTTTCTCTTGGCGAGGCACTTGTTCCTTTCCAGGAGAGGTTTGCATTGCTTTTCTGTTTCCCGCACACGTTTTAACTGGAAATAAATAAGACAAAATGGATTTTTGTGTCCTGAGGAAAGTAGGGCAGGAGGGGCCTAGTGTTAAAGAGAGAAATCACCCCTTCAATTATCTGACCTGTCCCAGGATTGACCACTACATTCCCGTCCTCCATTTAGCCAACCAATAATTTTTAGTTTCATTTAATGATTATTCTCTTCTCCTCCCTCCCCCACTTTCTTCTTTTTAGAAGGAATCGCTATGGAGGTCTAGTAGACTCAGAACTTACTATATAGAACTAACTAGCATGGAATAGGCAGACTCCTCTGGCTTCAGTCTTCCCAGTACTGTGATTAAAGGCCATGAGCCACAATGCCTGGCTCTAGAGCCTTTTCAACACAGTCCTGTCTGCCACCTTAACAGAGGTGCCACAGATGCTCCTGCTGCTTCTGGAAGTGGCCAGGAAAAACCCAAAGTTCTTTATGCTCCCATTGACTTCCCTCACCTCGTTTACCCATGAAGGTCTGAAACCACTTCCTGATCCAGCAAGGACCTCTCAGTGGCTCAGAAACAGAGAGAAGCACAATTGAACTTCATGGTCATCGGAACCTGGTTCCAAGCCTTATCCTCTGCAACTGCACTGCCTCCTTCAAAGGTCTTACTGAAATCTCCTCCCTAAGGCATGTGCTTTTCTGTTGTCACAGAGCCTGTTCTATATTTCACAGGATGCTGAGCAGCATCCCTGCCCTTGTCCTGCTGATGACAGTAACACCCTGCCAGTTATAATGATGACATATGATGACCAAGTTGCCTTTCATTTAGAAGCTAGATGTACGAATGTTGTCTTGTAATCATGAGCAGCCCTTCCTTTCGTTTTCAAAATACTTATGCTTAGTTGATGTACTTTATAGGTCAATCTATATAGACAGATTAGATTTTATGTTGAATTTGTAATGATCAGCTTATTCTTTTTATCAGAAGATTTCAAAGACCATCACCCCTTCCATGGAAATCTATGATTTGGGGAGATACTGAGGAAGGAGAAAACGACCTATGATTGAAAAGAACAAACAAGACTTTGTAATTCTTAGCATTTTCCCAGCCCCATCCTAATCTCAGTTTGAGAACTATAGTTTTTATGGTGATGTCAAAAACATGGGATTTACTTTTAATAAATAATCTGGCACAACATCTTTTCAGTTTTGGTGTCTGAATCAAGGATATTAAATTTTGAGTATGTATAAAGAGAAGTTATTCACTGGGCTTATTATTGCGATATTGATCTCTTCTGGAAGTTAATGCCCTGTGTTTTCAGGAGCTAAGTCTCCTCATAGAATTCACAGGAAATGCACATAAGCATGAAGGGAAAGAACTGTCCAATTGTAGCACAGCATCCAATCGCAACAGTTCCAAAGCACCCAACAGAGTCTTCCCCAAAAGGACACACCTTCATAGTTGAGAGAGACTGAAATTACACATGTATGGTCCATCATGAATACATGTATGCATATATAAGAATAAACAGAGGCTCGTGTAGACTCTAAGAAGCCCTGCTATAGTTTAACTAATAACAGAGAGACCTGAGGTCAAGGAAAGAAAGAATTTTATAATCATAAAGGGTCGATATGCTAAAACCATTATCAAATATTAACTTATGCCTATCAAGTAACATAAATTTAAATATGTATAAGGAAAAATGGACAAAGCTAAGAAGAGGCATATTTGTTGAGAGAAATACGCAGACAAAAATATTAGAACTATATAGAAAATTTAAAACAAGGCAACAAATGAAGGAAAACTTTAACTGAAGATGCAGAGCATTTCTTCCTCTCCCGGGAACATGACATATTTCTAAAGTGACTGTACTGGTTAGTTTTTGCCAGCTCAACACAAACTTGAGAAGAGGGAACCTCAATTGAGAAAATGTCCCCTGGATATTGGCCTGTAGACAAGCCAGGGAGACATTTTCTTGATTAATGATTTGTGTGGGAGGACCCAGTACCCTGTGAGCAGTATTGCTTCCTGGTAAATAGTCCTGGGGTGTATATGAGAGCAAACTTAGCAAGGCATGGGGAGCAAGCAGGTTAGCACCATTCTTCCCCAGTTCCTGTTTGATTTCCTACCCTGACTTCCCTTCACAGTGGACTGAACAGAACATGTAAAGCAAATAAGCCCTTTCCTACTCAAATGGCTTTTGGTCATGGTATTTTAGCACAGCAAAAGACACCAAGTGAAGACGCTGACCCTGTGCTATGGCCAGAAAGAATATTGTAATACTCCCATGGCAACGAAATGTTGCAAAGTGTGGCAAATGTATGAAGTAACTAATAACAGAAGATGATTAGAAAAACCTCTAGAAGTTTAGAGAATGAGCAATACACTTTTCAGAACAAGTTGCATGATATTATTTATGAAATAGCAATACATGAAAACACTCCAAACTTGTGAGAGTTGTCCAAAAAATAAGATTTCAAGAGAAACAATGGCCCCAAATTCAGGGAAAGGCTAAAGTCACTTTTACATAAACAACTTCATCAAGATACTACAGAGCAGTATGTCTAAATATCTAATTTCAAAATGTTCTAAAGTTATTAAGAAAATAAAGCAGAATAGAGAAAGAACAAAATGCTGAGGACAGATTGTAACGGAAGACCAGCAGGCCAGCAGATATTTGACAGCTCCCCCAAACTCCTTAGAAAAGATAAAATCAAAACAAAAGTCAGAATAAGAATTCACCTCATGACCAAATGGTGAAAGGGAATGATTATCTGTCCATGTTGGCAAAGATATGGAAACACTGAGGCCCTCCTGCATTGGCACTGAGAACTGACCACATTGCAGGATCCGAATTCCTATGCCCAGGGGGAAGAGGCACTTCTCTTCATCACCGATACCAAGCAGTCCCTGTCTAAACAGCCTAAATGTGCTTAGAAACTCCAAAAATGTTCCAGAAGAATGGCTGCATGTATTGCAATAATGTTACCTGGATGCTGCAGAGTAAGGAAAGAGAACAATTCCATACAGCCCAAAGGAGATCCTCACAGGCAAACTACTAGCTAAAGCAGCCAGGAACACAAGAATAATATGCAATTATGTTCTTAAAATTATTATGGTAGATACCTGTACAGAAACCAGAGTAGTGCCATGGTTAATTGGGTCTTGGGTTGGAGAGAGGGGTCTTGGTCATTTTTCACTTAGTCATTTGGAAGGTAGTTCTGTGGGGCAGTCACCTTGTGAGGATTTATCATGATGTACTGTTATTACCTGCTCATTTTTCTCTCATGATAAACCAACATAATGCATGCTTTCATAGCCTAACATCCAACAAAACACACGATCGAAACAGTTTGCGTACAACTTACCAGCTCGTTCCGTTCATCTCCAAGCAAGGTGTTCCTATCTTCTAACTTTCTTATAGTGGCATTCAATTCAGCTATTCTCTTTTGATTTCTTCTCAAATCCTATGCATGAAAATTAAAATGAGCATCTCTTAAATATTACTTTTCAAAGCCTGGAATACTATTCATGAAAGCAATAATGTCCTTTCTTGCAATTTGGCCCAGGAAGTAACAGATAAATGTTCTTTTACTAAGAAAAAATGAGTTACCCTTTCTAACTCCCAACATTTTTGCTGGGTTGAATACTGAGCATGGTTAAAATCACAAATGAATTCCACGTGGCAGGCAGAACCCCAGACTTGTGGCATGAAACGTGACGATTGGTTGAAACAGGTTTTTTGTTTTTGTTTTTTTGTTTTTTTTTTTAGATTTATTAAGTATGTATACAGTATTCTGTCTGCATGTCTGCGGCAGTCCAGAAGAGGGTACCAGATCTCATTACAAATGGTTGTGAGCCACAATGTAGTTACTGGGAATTGAATTCAGTGCTCTTAAGCTCTGAGCCATCTCTCCAACCTGGTTGTAACAGTTTTTAGGAGAGCTGTTTGCACTGTGATCAAGGTGAGTGTGAAGTCCTTGTGTCACAAATGTCCATTGCTTCCTACGACACAGACAACTGTCTGTTATTATACTTAGTCACGGAGGGGACAGTTTAGGAAGTAGACACAGGGTTTTCTGAATTTTTCTATACTCTAGAAGAAAAAAGGTCATTGTGAGGGAACATATATTACCTTCGTGTGTGAAAGGCGGGGTGTATAATATAATTTAGAAGAAAATATTTTGCATAGCATAACAATTCTTATGAACCACCTTCCACACAGCGGTTACAGCTTAATCCCATGCTGTAAGCCTACTCTGATTACATGCCTACAATCCTGTTACTCTTTTCATTTACAGAGTGGTTCACTGTTGATAGACAGTTTCACACATCCTGAGTCCCCGGAGTCATCATATCCCAGAAGACACACCAGGACAGGCTAAACTGGGGGTCGATCTGCGTTTACCCAGGTCTTATGGTAGATAGCAGCAATCAAATCTATGAAGCCTAGCCATGTACTAAACGCAGTACTCTACCTTCTCTATATAGCATCGTCTAATTGAGAGAGCAGTCTTGCAGAAACCACCATGACCTGCTCCTTGCAGATAAGGATACTGAATAGGAAAGTGGTTTGCATAAAGCCACTCAATGAATTTGAACCAAGGGGGTCGAACTTCTAAAGTGTGGGTTTTTTTTTTTGGTAATTATGCTATATTGCATATAGGTATTAAGAGAAGATGTGCTACATCTTAGATCAGTATATATTTCCCACCACCTACTAGGGTGTGTCTGTGTCCTGGAAATCAATTCATGAGCTATTCACTATTTTGTTCTAAGTAATACTTTGGAACTCATTTTTTGTTCCTAATTAATATATTTTCATCATCTTTTCTTTTGCAGATAAATCATTTGATAGCATACTACAGGCCAACTTAAGTCTCTCATTGTAACTCTGACAATAATTTCTCGTATAAGATGATGATAATAGAGCGAAGTAAGAGGCAAGTTCATTCAGACTGGAGGCTTTTGTGCTCTGGCTATAGATGATTCCGTCTTTCTTAAAGGCACACACCCAACCACTGTACATGATAACGATAACAGTCTTTGGGCAGTTTCCAATCCAATTGTTCACAGATGGGGAAATTACCAATCTTGGCAACAGGCAACTATTATCATTTAACTTACGGTTCTTATAATAGATTCAAGTTTGATAGCTATCACTAGGCTAGAAAAATTCTGAGCAAGATTCAAAGACACCTGCAGCTCTCACGTGATCTGCTAATGAAGTATGGCCCACTTTGTTCCCAGGATATTCGCTGGTTTTTTTAGTCGGAGGGAGAATTGATTTCTCTGTTCTTATAAACAGGAAAATAGCTTAAGTGAGAAAGCTGAACTTGATCGCTAAATAAAAGATGACTCCGGAGTTGTTAAACCTCAGCTCGAATGGACTCACCGGGCTGCTGCAGTGTTCGGAGCCATCTCCCGCCCTTCCTGGAATCTCTCTCTTCGGGCTGCTCATGTTACACTCGGCCTCCTTGACCAGGAAGAGCTGCTCATCCAAAGCCTCCTTCTGCAGCTGCAGTTTCTGTACATAGCCTGTCTGAGTCTCCAGTTCCTTCTCCAGGGAAAAGATGATCCTGTCCTTGGCTTTGATTTCATCCATCTGAATTAAACGAGACCCAGGACATCTCACTATGCCATACATAAGTCCCATTTTCACTAGGGGAAGTCCTCCTCATCTTGTGATGATGGAAGGTGTTGTCCTTCCCTAGAGTGCTTGAAATGGTCTGGGGGGTTAGGAAAGTTAAAATTTAAAATGGATCACTAGCTTTAAGAAAGATAAATCCAGAATATTCCACTGTTTCTAGGGGACCAATAAATTATTACTGATTGATACTATTAGCCAATAATTTGCAACTGGAGAAACTGCAGGCTTCTTAGTACTGGTCTACTGATTTTCTAGTAAGTGTCAATTTTGGTAGCATCTGGAGGGGGTTCTTCCAACAATTCCTGTTGTGTGGCCTTTCCTTTCCTTCCCACACTTCAGGGCAGCTAGCCTTAGCAATCGTTCTACCATTACTGTTGGAAAAGCATCAGTGGGACTAGAATAGGTGTTGGGAGCAGTGAGACCCCAGATCCTGAATTTCTTGTAATCCCCTGATCTGAGTGCCTAAAGCTGCTCTGAGCACAAGACCTTCAGGAAATCAAAAAGGCAGGAGAGTGGTTTCAGGTGGGTTTGGCTGGGGAATGGCTATCTCTATATAATCTGCCCCTGAACACAATAAAGGGGACATTCTTGGGGAATTCAAGGATGACCCGTGTCGCTGTCTCTTTGTCTGTGTGTGTTTGTGTATTTTAACCTCCAGCCCCCTTGCCCGAAGCTCGCGCACTGGGTGCCAGCGCACAGAGCGAAGACACCGGGGCATGGTACGCAGCAATTGGAAGTCTCCACCGAGATTTCTGCAAATAGGGATTAAAAATGCCTGCTGATTTTAGTCAAAATGTTTCCTTGTAAATCTGTGGCATATAGTTATTGTTTTCAGCACTCATTTCTGTGAAGCTTAGAAGTGGCCTCAAATGTATTAATTTTCAACTTAAGGCACAGGTATCAGTGGATTAGAGTTCCACTGGGCTGGAATCAGTTTGCTGTCCTTAGATGAGAAATATATTATACATGAAATGAATGTCTGTAACTATGACACTGGGTGGAACCTTTTGTCCCATTTCAATACATTCTATGTGGTTACTTAAAATGGAAATAGGAAAAGACATTTAGCACAAATGTCATTCTTCTTTCTCCTTTCTCATATTTAATGACTCATTTAGCATGTTTCTTTGCTGTGCATTTTAGATAAGGAGGAGATCATAGAATCACCTGCTTGTGCAGTCCCTTGCTTTACACATGCTAATGCCAGGCTACTGATCTAGGTCATGCGACTAAATTTTAGGTTAACGTTGGGAGACCACTGCACTAATATCTGCACTGTCCTGTAACATCACCTGCTAACTGAGGAGGGTTGTGATAGTGCCCTGTTGATTTGCAAGAGAATATCAGCCACATTTTCCTACTCCTTGAAGATGGCTGAGGTGTGTTACACTGAGTGCTCATTCATTTTTCAGAGTTGATATACACAATGTTTGCTGACATTTGATACAGCTCACAAACTGCCCCTTCCTGGTTGCTGGTGATGCCTTCTAGTTAGTGACAGGTGCTAGGCTACCAGCTGATTAACACCCTCTTGGAGTTATCCTTACCATCTCTACTATTATAAATGAAATCGTCTCATCTTTACAGTATTGGAAGCACTATAGTTATGCAAGTTATTTGACTTTCTAAGAATGTCCTGCTCAGTAGGTTCCATGATCACCAGGCACCAGATGAGACCCTGAAAGGTTCAGTGTTTGGTCATTGTCCCCTGCCTTGTGAATGATAAAGTCTTGATACTTTAACTTTATCTTCTGAGCCTCGAGCCCATTTATCGGGCACTATGTTACACTGGCTCCAAAATTATTGGCATCCCACTGCCCCCAGATCTTTCCAAAGTGGGTTCCTGTAGAATATCGAGCAATGAAGGGGGCTCTGTTATACAGTGGTTGTGAACACATAACCTGATTCTCAGAATATTACAAAATTAACCGGTGCTTAAGTTCATAGATGAGAAAGACTATATTGCAGAATTCTTTGATGTTTTCTAGAAAGAACAGATTTCATCTCTTTTCCTACAGGCCCCAAAGTGCATATGAGGGTGAGGATAGGGGTAGGAATGGAAAATGAGAAAGGGGAGACAGGGACATGTACATTAAAGAAACACTGCCCCATCTGAGTCTGCTTGTACCCAATGTGTGAGCCACTCTTTAGATGGCTTAGATTTCAGGTGGTTGTTTGGGAGAATCTTTTGTCTACTTTAGCGGTGTTCTTGGGAAGAAGTAATGGGGAAATCATGACCAATTGGTAGATTTACACTGCAAGGCAAGCAACAATTCTACTTCGAGGCTTTCTTTTTAACTCACCTACCTGATTGCTCCACACTTCAGTCTTGAATCCTCCTTCGTCAACCACGGTCATTTCAGAAACCAAAAGCAGAACAGAGACCACTATTTTCTGCTCTGCCTTTGGTCTCGATTGTCAAACAGAACGAATTGCAGTAAATCCCCCCAGGAAGCATGGCAGAGGCAGCATCTCACAGTTACAACACACCACTTTACTAAGAAAATGACACAGGCTTAACCTGTAAAATGTTCTAAGGGAACCACTTAAAGTGGAGATCCTGGAGACATCATCCAGAGAATGAAGTGGAATTCCTGGACATGGTTACTGTGGGTTGGCAGACACAGCGGAAAAGAGTAGATTTTTCCTGAACAGCTTAGAGCAGTGCTTCTCAACCTGTGGGTCACGACCCAGTTGGGGGGGGGGGAGTAAACCAACCCTTTCCCGGGGGTCGCATATCAAATATCCTACATACCAGATATTTCTATTGTGATTCATCACAGTAACAAAATTACAGTAATGAAGTGGCAGCAAAATAACTTTTTGTTTGGAGATCATGGCAGCATGAGGAACTGTATTAAAGGGTCAGAGCATTGGGAAGGTTGAGAACCACTGGCTTAGAGAAACAGTATTAAATACATCCTAAATGGTTTAAACTAATCTTCAACTTTTGTACAAACAGGAATAGAAATTTTCCTTCTAAGATCATGGAACCTAGGGCATTACAGCTTATACATAGACCATGCATTAATTTATTCATTTTAGCATTAGGAGATATCTGAATGGTTGTTGGCTTTGCAAATTAAAAACCAGAAACCGAAAGAAACCAACCAAACTAAAACTAATTCTGTTTGGCGTTCTACTACATGTATGTCAGTGTGAGAATGGAACCAGAACTTGAATTATAGATAGCAGCGAGCTGTCATGTGGGCGTTGGGAACTGAAGCCAGGGCCTCTGTAAGAATAGTCAGCACTCCTAACCACTGAGCTATTTCTCTAGCATCTTTTGTTAGGTATTTTATCACAGCAAGGAGAGAATTCACTAATTCAGAGGCAAAACCGGGAGAGTAGGGGTGCACATTGGGGAATCTGTAAAGCAAAGTAGGAAGTAAGAATCAGAAAGTAAGAAAATCAGAAAAAAATTGTTTTGACATGAAGTGATCAGTTGGGTCAAAATACACAAAGGAGCAAGTCAAATGAGAAGGAAGAAATGACCACTAGAATTGGTAATACCAAATTCATTAGCAACATTACCATAAACATTTTGCAATGAATAAACATACAGTTAGGTTTGGGTATGGAGACAATAAAAAATGTGATGGCAAAAAAAAAAACAAAAAAAAAAACTGTAACAGCAAGTAAGCCATGTGTGAACGACACCCAACCAGAAACCAGAATGGCTCATAACAAATATTCCTCGATTGTTGAGGGGAAAGGAACACGTTTTATAAATGACCAGGGATTTTATAGCTCCATGTTTGTGCTGTGAATCGTTTAGGATGTTTTCATGTTGTCGGTGGCCATTTTCAGACAAATTGTGGCACAAAACAAGCTAAGGTTGGAATGGCTTGTACTTTACAATCTTTCACGAATACCCATGAACAGAGATCGCTGCATGGAAACATATGCACCCAGGAGAAGGCACTTACTATGAAAATGGGGGCTGAAAAACTCTTACATTTTACAATTCCAATTTCTCCCGAACTACCTATCAATCTACTTTGAGCTTTGGATAGCGCAGCTTGCGGAAGCGAGGGTGTTTGTTTATAGCAACTCTCAAGGGAACACCCAGCAAAGCAAATCCCACTGAGCTCTGGCCGAGAGTGGTTTCTGCCCAGCGCTCATTATTACTGACCAGCCTCCGAATGTCCCGTTCCGACTCCCACTTGATCTTCGAGATGGCTTCCTGGTGGGACTGATGCTCACTCCTAAGGTCCCCAGCCTTGATTTTATCCGCTTGGATCATATTGCTCAGCGCCTCGTCCACCTGCTTCTTGGCCATTTTCAAGTCTGTGATTTCCTGCAAGAGCTTCAAGCGCTCTGCATCGAACTGTTTCCGGGCCTCCTCCCGGGCCTCAATGGTGAGTGCTGTCCTTACTTTGTCGCTGCTGCCGTCCCGGAGAGCGCACAGAGCGGACTTGAGTCTCTGGATCTCCCCATCCCGCACCTTCACTGTCCTTGACATTTCCTGCTCGTGCTGCTTGATGAGGTTCTCTCTCACCGCCTGCAGCTCCTTCATCTTCTCCTCATGGAGCTTGGCTTTGAGCTCTGTCACCAGGACCGTGTGTTTGCGCTGCTCCAACTCGCGAATCCGCTTTGCTTCTTGAGTCTTCTCTCTTTCAAGCTTTGATACCTAGAGGCAGACGGGTGAAAAGGATGAAAAAGCATGAGCCTCAAAGAGAACTCGTGCTCCCAGGCAGGATCTTGCAGCTTAGTCTGCTATGATCTCTTAATACCTTATTTATTAAAAAAAAAAAAAAAAAAAGCCGAGCTGCTGTGTGCTCAGAGGAAAAGGAAGCACCGGCCTTAAAGCAGAGTCTATACTGTGTAAAACAGGGAAACATCTAATATGTTTATCTTATCGTGTTCAGACAAGTACTTGATGTTCCCGGGCCTTGTAAATAGCACGTGGTCCACGGATTAGCAGCTCTAGAGACACCCAGAAGCTAGTTGGAATTGTAGAATCTCCGGCTCCCCACCAAACCCATAAATCAGAATGTGCCTTTTAACAATTCCCCAGGCAACTGGTTTATCCAGTCAAACTGGGGAGCTTTGCTGGTGTGGTTCGCCCATTGGTGGAGGAGATTTTACAACTACCACCTGCACAAACCTGGCTCCACCCAAATCAATACAAGTGGGCATCTCTGGATAACTCAAAGTGGGATACTGTAAGAAGGCAAACAAATGGGTGCAACCCTTTATCATATGGGACAGGACGTGCTGGTGGAGAACAAACTGCTGACAATGGAGGTTTAAAAAAATGAAGATTAACCAGGTGGTGGTACCGCATGCCTTTAATCCTAGCACTCAGGAGGCAGAGGCAGGTGGATATCTGTGAGTTTGAGGCCAACCTGGTCTACAAGAGCTAGTTCTGGACAAGCTCCAAAACTATGGAGAAACCCTGTCTCGAAAAACTAACCAAACAAACAAACAAAAGATTGTTATAATATTGACTTTATCTTTCTTTGAATAGTAACCAAGTTCCCCTCTGCAAATTGTATATATCCGTATACAGACACACTAGGCAGCCAATCAGCTGACACCCCCTAAGTCTGGTGAGTTCTGCTCTGATTACAGGGCTTTACTGATGCTACAGGAGGTCTCTTAGTGTCATTCTCTAGTCTCACTCTTATCCCTTGACCTTACTGCCACCCAAGCCAAACACTCCACATAGTGTAAGAATTTCTTCTAATCTTTCCACCTTCCAAGAATTCTCCTGGAAATAATCTCCTGGGTTTCCTTACATTTCCAGGGACATTGTTAGTTCTTCTGGCCGGTTTGTGCAACCTAACTCTCTGATTTAACAGGTTGCTGGGATGTGGTGGCTGGCCACCTGATTAGTATGAAAAGGTCCCTCTGTGATCCTGTGCGATTCCCTCCTCCACTCAGTTCCTTCTGCTGTCACCTGCCTATGTCTTCGACCCCATTTCCTTCACACACACACACACACACACATGAGAGAGGGAGAGAGAGACAGAGAGACAGAGAGAATCTGAGAAAGTGAAGACAATTTGGAAGCCCCAGGGGCATTACCTAGTGATTAATTCCCTAGAGTCTCCACCACTTCTCCAGTTGGAAAGGTTTAATAATAATATATTTTTAATTTTTATTGAAAATAGCCCTTTTCCCCATACAATATATTCTGATTGCGGTTTCCCAAAATTTGAGAGATTTTCAACCTAGCAGTGTTTGAAGAGTCAAAGTCCCTTTTAAAGTAGTCGTAACTACAGTATAGAGAGCCTGGGGGTCACACTTACCTCAGCCACTTACCTAGCGCCAGCTAGAGCAGTGTTTTCTAAACGAAGTAATGTTTGGAGAACATGTTATTGTTTAAAAGGTACCATAATTAATCTCACAGTGGTTATCCTGGAAGGGTGGAGAACCCGAGAGGACTTGGAAAAGCAGTTGTGAGCTGTGTTCAAATGGCTATGCAGAACACTTGCAATATTGTAAACTTGAAATTTGCTCCATGCGCAAAATACACTCCAGATTTTGAAGATTTGTCACAAGACAGAGTTTCTTGTTAGTCCTTTTTAAATAGCTGTATGCTGAAACGATGCTATTTTCTATGAATTAAGTTAAACAGACTTTTTAGGGAAAGCAGTAGATCCCTTTCACTTTTTAAAATTTCATTCATAAGAAAATTTATCAAAGGTCACGTATCTGGCACGCAGAGTCCACCATCCATTTCTTTTGGCTCCAGAGTTCTTTGGGGTTCCAGAGATGCTCCAGAGTTCTTTGGGGTTCATTTGGAAAATTTTACTTCCTTTATGCTGCTAGTGATGGTCTCTCAGGAAACCCCCATCCTGGCAGGACTCCTGTATCTGTTCTAAGCCTGGAGACTCCTCCACACTGAGGACGGAATCCCCATACTTCAAACTTGCCAATCAAGCCCCTTTGCAGGTTGGCTTAGAGGACTCCCTTCCTCCTTCCCCTCACCCACCCCTGCTCCAGATACAAGAGAATATGCTATTTTCTGCACCTGGTTTATATTTGTACCTGTCTGCCTACACTTGCTTTTCCCTGGTGGCTCTTCCCTTGACTCTCTGGGAATCTCACATTCCTCCTGGCCCAGCTACTTACCTTCCTTTCCTGTCACGTGACCTTATTACCTAGGATTAAGCTCAGGTCAACTATCTTTGTCTTCTCTGTGCACTCTGGTGGTCCTTAGTGCATTTTCCTTCATGTTACAGGTTGTGTGCACGCTGCTCTCTCATCTGCACCCCCTTTTATTCTGCCCCCGTGTGGCAACTCCTACAAGACTACCGCTGTATATTCACTGATTGCTGGCACAGCACAATAATGAGCAAGAAGGCACAGGTGCATTTAAAGGCCATATGCCATTGTTTCCTAGCTAGCCCCGTAAGCAGAGTCATGAATAATAAGCCCTGTCACACAGGTTAGAAAACATAGGATTAGGGAGTTACCAGCATAACTCTGTATCCACTCATCCCTTGTAAGACACTACAGTAAATCACAAGACCTCTAACAGCTAAGGATAAGAATGCCTATTTCTCTCTCTCTCTCACTCACTTTCTCTCTCTTATTTCAAGACAGTGTTTCTCTGTTTTTTTTTTTCTGTGCTTTTTTTTTTTTTTTTTTTTTTTTTTTTGTTAGCTCTGTCTGTGCTGGAACTCACTCTGTAGACCAGGTTGGTCTCAAACTTACAGAGCTCTGCCTGCCTTTGCCTCCCAAGTGCTGTGATTACAGCCATGCATCCCCATTGTCAGGCTGCCTCTCTATTCTTGACCATCTAGACCTCGTTCTCATCTTTATAGAGTAAAGAGAAAATGATGTCCTCCAGGAAGGAGGTGAGGAAGCTAGAGCCTGTAAGCCAAACTGTCTGTCTTTGTGATTAAAGATCTGTTGGAATACAGCCATGCCTGTCCATTAGCCCATTACTTAGGGCTGCTTTCATGATATAGCGATCAAGCACATTCAGAGACTGTCTGGTCCACAACCCTCAAATATTTAGTGTTTTCCACTTTGTAGGAAGGCTTGTTGATTTCTCGTCTAGATAATGTATTTATTTTTAGTGGAAGGGATTTTATTTTTCTAATTTAGAAGTTGAGTTTAGCTTGCATAGAAGACATTAGAAATATGTCTTTAACTTGAGTGGCGGGAACTTGGTTCTCCTCCGTCTTAGCAGTAAGTGGTAGCACTGGGAAGAGCGACATCACCACGAGGCCACAGGGCCACAAGGGAAACACTTTGCAAGACAGTGACAAATGATAATAAATAGGGACAAAGGGCAAGGTGTTCTGGGTTTCTGTTCTGTGTTGCCAGCTAAGAAAAGTGTTCAAAAAATGCCTGTAATAGATGTTTCCAGGCTCAGTTTAAAATGCATGGGAAAATGACTTACTGTAAAGTCCTATGGCATAGAGAGCAATATCAGATATGACAGGAGACACTCCACCCTAAATGACTTATGTCAGATTCTCTCGAGGTGCTTAACATAGCATCTCCTTGTGATTCTGTCTGAGACTGTGTTGTTTCTCTCAGATTTTAAATAGTAATCTTTCATGCATGTCGGAAGGGAGATTAAAAGAAGAAAGAAGTTAGGTTATGAAAATACAGCTGTGTGGAGAATATATTCCAACCCATGGAGAAAACTAACATAAACAGAAGCTGGTCATGGTGCCAATCACTCGGGGGAATTCACAAAACAAAGAAACGGTTCACATTTGTTCCAGTTGCCATGGATACTGCCGCTATTTGCAGGATTTCTTGACATGACTTGTTTGTTTCCCCTTGAAACTCCTTTGGGGAAAGTGTTTCACACTTTGAGGGGGAGCCAAAGGATGTGATCTGGGGGACAGACGTGAGAGGCCATAACAGTTGTGTGGTGAAGTCTCTTTCTGGACTCATTCATACAGACTTAGGCATTAAGGCCGAAGATTTAAATATCCTGATACAACTCTTGAGATGTGTGAGGACACAAAAGAGCTATTGCTGAGTACAAACGTAAATACGAGCATGAAGATATTTAGAAGTTGAAAATTATTTAGTAAATGAAAATGATTTTGAATAGTGAGGGTGTTTTGCAGCAACAGCTTAAGCCCAGTCATAAGTGTGCTAGTATTCTGTGTATTTTACTGCAATTGACCCTGTTCTAAATAGGCATTGCATGTGTTAGTACATTCAGCCTCCAGGCCAGCCCTGTGGTATTTGCTTCTGCACAGTTTCAGGGGAGACAGTAAGGAACAATCTCTACATGAGCTTATAAATTAGGCCGGTGTGGCCAAGAGCCAAGTCCAGCCTACAGCCCAGGCCTGACTCCTCTCAAACTTCCGGCAAACTCCTTTCCTTCTGTCGGCCTTTTTCCCCATTGGCATATTGGGATGATGTCCTCTTTCTCATCTGGTTGTGGTGAAGATGACTCAATATGTATCAAAAGCGAGTGACTAAGCAACAGTAGATACTATCACGTTCATTTCGAAAATATTGATGCATATGGCGATATATTATACAGTGTTATAGCAAGCCACCACCAACAAAAATGCAAATGACCATAATGTATGACTAACATTGCAATACCACATTAAGACTGTAGTAACTGTTTCCCAAACAGAGATGGATGTCCAGAGAAACCCGGGTTTTCCTGGGATGCCCTGGGTTCC